GCCTGTAGAGGGATATATTATAATTATCCTACCCATGAGTTTGTCGATCATAGAGTGAGTTATCCGGACAAAATCCCAGAGATCAACATCAGAAATATCCATGCCACACACCCTGAAAGGCAGAAGCTTTATCCATTGTTATTCCATGGATAAAGGATTTGCCTTTTGGAAAATGTCCGAATTAGGTGGCACATATAGATTTATCTTATTGACATTAGATTTGTCAATCAACCAATATCGAATACCCCAATGTATTACGGGTGATGAAATTAATTATGGGTGACAAAACTAATTACAAATAACAACAAATTAATTATTGGATTTTCATTGATATGCATCCATCTATAAAAGCAAAGTCTTCCACCTTTTTGGTCATATATTTCTCAAACAAGATGAGATTGAGTTTTTATTAAATCAAAAAGAAAAAAATCCTACAGAAAATATTCTTAAAAGGGAATTTTGGGAACTAGACTTCCAGGAAAAGAAAGGTCAAATTTCAGGCATGATGGATGTACAGGAATATGGAATCTATTGTTTTGGAATAATCAATAAAGTGTTTTTACCTGCATCAATGCAAGAGTTGTCAGCATATGAGTCAGTTTATGTGATGGCATTCCTTAGAGGTTTGTTATTTATTTGTCTCCTTACAAATATACATATCATCATGCTTATCAATTTAATTTTACAGCATCGATTGAGCAATCTTACAGATTATTGCTTGGATCTCAAAGTTAAATGTGCAAGTGTTAGTCAAGATCTATGAAACTTGCAAACGAATATCAATTGTTCAATAATTACATAGGTGGGATTGATTGAAGTGTTAGTCAAAATCTATGAAGATTAAGGCAAAATCATAGCTTTTTGTATCAAGAAGACAATGTTATCTTTACCAACAATACTTTGAATACATCCCCCCAAAAAAGTGAGATTAGAAATGATATATAAACTATGATTGTTATGATATATTATGTTATATATATTTGTAGATCATTATTGTCTCAAAAAAATTATTATACAGACCATATTATTGTATAACTGATATCCATTTTTATTCTATTCAGATAAAGCGCAGTGCAATAGATAGTTTAGACAAACAAAAACTTATAGTATAGAACAATAGATAGATTTGATTCTTTTTCAATTTTTATTAAAATCAATAAAGTTAATGCAATTTTTACCAATATTTTTTTCATGTGATTAAGCTTTTGAATAATCTGCATTTTGTATAAAACAATGGAAAGCACTCAATCCAAATTAGATTTGTTAATGCAAGAGAGAATAAAGCCAGATTAGTAAAATTAGAACAGAATAATAAAGAGAAGGATGAGCTCATTGCTAAGTTAAAACATGATATTGAGAAAATTAAAAAACAAACTCAAGTCATTGTCAACTCACAAAATAAATCTAAAAAAATCATAAATTTCAAGAGAAATGTATTTTAATAACTCAGATACTTCTCAATGAAGAACCAATAATTGAGTACCATCCTTCTTTCCTGAATGGGCTAGAACTTGATGCATTCTTTCAAAATGTCAAATTGCATTAGATGTGCAAGGGGCTCAGTATTGGTTTCATCACACTAGCTAGTATAAAGATGTTAATCGTATCTTCCTTCTTGAGATATGGTATGGTAAATTTTTAAATAGTACAAGTACAGGATTCATCAATTGGTGGGGGTGGTTGTGTACTGAATGATTTGTAGATCATACAGTAGAGAAAAGTGTACAGTACTGAATGTCTATATTTCCATAAATGAACAATTATTTGTACTCTGTATATAAATGGTGATTTAATTATGTGGGAGGCATACTACAACAAAATCCAATATCAACATTTATACTATCAGCAATTTCAGGTTCAACATTTAGTCATCAATGTAATTCAACAACTTTATAATAATAATAATAATAATAATAATAATAATAATGGCTTTATCTTTGTTTCCTTGATGAAATGTAATTAATTAATGGTTGTCATGTTCCACTATAATCCCTTAACACCAATCTAATAAAACAAAGATTTATTTAAATCATATAAAATACATCTTGAATCTAGTTTTTTTATTATCATATATGATCCCACCTTGTGTTTAAACATTATCAAAACATCCAAAAACATCAATTAATTTTAAAAAAATCAAATTGTTACTTTAATATTCATTTCATGAGTCAAAAAAATTCAAAGTTTTTTTTTATTACTAGTATGATATTTCTTTAAATATCAAAAGGTAGTCAATCAAATTATAATCTTGTGAAATGTCAAGAATTATCTTGAATTCAAAAATTTAACTTTCAAGAGAATAACTAATAATATTATTTACAAATAGTTGCATAAAGGGCAAAGCCATCAATGAATGGTTTTTTAACCCTTTCTAATGATAATTAATGGTCTGGCCAACCTCTAATTATTATTTAGGGCTCCCTTTTAAATTTGCTATGTTGATTGTCTCAATTAATATAGTTAGTTGTACATATTTCTTGTATATATATACAAGTTTAATTTTTTTCATTATTGTTTTTGTTTGTGGTTAGCAGCTGACGATTAACATAAATCTAGCTAATGAAGGACAGTTTAGGACTGGGAAACTTGGTTATATTGAACTTTCAATTCTGTACACTATTCTTTTTTGTTCTGTACATTTTTTATTTTCTAATTTGTGAATTCTGAAAAGTTGATTGTCTGTATGATCTTTGGTTCTGTTGTATGTGAAAATGAAATTATGTGAATTCGCAATTCACATAAATTTACACATGTGAAATTCAAATTAGCCAATCAGAATTTCACCCCACTCCATAATATTTCAATTTCACATACAGACATGATTTACTACGGAGGTGCTGTACAGAATACAGAACCTTATATGTTAATATACTCGTTGGATTCTCATGCTAAAAATTCTTCAATAATCATTACTAAATGCAATTTTATTTTGTTTAAAAAATCAGATAAAATAATATCACTATTTAACAAGAATCAAAAAGTATTATTTCAAAACATTATTATAATTTAGCTTTAAGAAATAAAATAAAGATAAAATAAAAAGATAAATAAAGATAAATCGTGGAGATTATATTAGTCATTCATTGATTCTTTTACTATTGTTACTAAAAGTTAATGATCAATTAATTAATATTGTTAATAATAATTAATAGTAATTTCCCAATTAATTAATAATGAAATCTTATTCACCTTTAACGTTCTAGAGAAAAGAGTTAAAAACAAGATTATTTAATGAATTATCATTACTTGTATAAATTTTAAAGCTTTTAGATTTAGCAATCTCTTCATCTAATATTCTACTTGTATGAGATGCATCCGGGTGTGATTTGTGTGCTTGTTGTGAATTACTATTACCACTACTATTACTATTACTATTATTATTCTCATGAATTTCCTTATGTTTGTTTTCAGCAAAATCATGAAGCTCTCTACTGGTTGGTCTTTTTGATGGATCCACATCCCAACACTTCTGCATCATTTGCACGTAATCTTCAGGCATTCCAGGCAATATTGGTGGTCGTAAACCTTCTGTACATATATCAAAAATTAAACAATGATTATGAGCTCTATCATCAAATGGTGGGTGACCTGCAAATATTTCCCACATTAACATCCCAACACTATAGATATCAGATTCTTTGGTGTTCTTTTGGCCTCCAAGTAGTTCAGGTGCAATGTATGATACAATTCCATAGACTTTACCTGATGATTTTTCATCAACTGGCCCACATAATCCCAAATCTGTAATGTAACAACTATTTCCACTTATTAATATATTACCACTATGTAAATCACAATGGATTAAACCTTTCCGATGTATATCATATAATGCATAGCATAAATAATAAAATATTCTAATTCTGTCTTTTAATGTTAGGTTTTTTTGCAAATAACCCCTTAAATTTCCTTCTGGATGATAGTTTAAAACTATTGCATAATTTCCATTATCTGGGAATTTGGTTATACCATAGCACCTAACAATCAGTGGTGCTTTAATTTTACAATAATTCATTGCCTGAAATTGAATATAAAATCAATTAGTATAATACAGTATTGTTTATTTTGTTTTAAATGACAACTACCAACCTCATCAAAAAATCCTTTTCCTGGATTACTTGAATCATTTAAACTTTTTAATACTATATTTTGCTCACCAATATAATTAAATTCTTTGTTATTTTCATTGTAATCAAATATTCTTCCTCTTGACCATGTAGCAGTATAAATTGAACTAAATCCACCTTCAGTTAACTTTTTTACTTTTTCAAATTGCTCAAAAGGTATCCATTCTATAATATAAGTTGGTAGGGAAGACTTCATTTGACATTGTTGAATAAAATTATCAACTATGTTATTTCCAGATGTCCAGGTGGTGAAAAGACTCTGTAATTTTAAACTGATACAACCTTCACAGAACTTATCAGAGTATCTTGTCAATTTACACTTGTTACATTCTTTTGGTTTGCCCAATTCATCATATGCATTTTTTAATTCAAACTCATAAATAAACTTTTCCTTACAATATTCTTTTTCATTTTCAGAAAGTTCCTTGTTTTCCTTGACTAATGAAAAAACAAATTCTTTTCTATTTTCTCTATCAGAATTGACATTAGCATTATTAAGTATTTCACCATAAGTTTTATATAAAAATCCCTTTCTTTCTGGTGATAATAATAATAATAATTTATCAAATGACATGACATGAAAATATAAAATATAAATTCGATTTGGTGTTTTAATATTAATATTAATGAATGTGGAGAAGAATTGAGTGATGTGTAACAAACAATTTTTTCGTACGTTTTTTTATATTCGATTAAACCAATCGATTTATCGTGATTCAACAATAATAATAAAGAAATTTTTTGATGAAAACAATTATTTTTTGCTCACTTTATTTATATTAAATATATTAAAATATCAGCTAGAAGAAAAAAAAAAGTACAAATACAAAATCAATCTTAGGAAGAAGATAAGTAATTTTTAATAAATTCCAAATGTATTTTCACCAGAATATCTAAAAAAACAACGCATTTAAACATATATATGTATACGAACATAGTATTAATATATATTTAAAAAAAAATCAACTTACGTTACGTATAAAAATCCATCCTTGTCTTTATATTCTTCGTAAACATTTGACATTAGTGCTGCTGTTGGTGGAAGAACTTCACCAACAAAAATAAAAATAGCCTTTTCAGAACTCAGTTTAATACGTTTACGAATCACATAAACAAATTGTCCAACAGTTAAATCTGCAGGAACTAAATATTTCTTTTTATCAATTGTGGCGATATCTGATTTTTCAGCTTTTTCACAAATAACCTAAATTTATATTTATATTATATATAAACATATGATGCTTGGAATAAAGAAAGTTGTATATTTAACTTACTGGAATTCTGTCAGGATATTTTATCCTAATTTTTTCTGCTTCACCTTTACGTTTTTCTATATGTTTTGATTTGATTCATAAAAATAAAATATTTATAAGTGTTATTAAACTTTAGAAAAACTTATAAAAAAAAAGAAATACCGAAAGGATGTTCATTCTTGAATTTGGATTTCATCATGAATTTATAAAATTAATAACTAAATAAATAAATACAGTTTATTTAACGATTTTTTATTTTTCCAAGGTAAGTAAAAAAGCGTATAAATGGGCTATGTCACGATTTTAATGGTTTAGTCGGGGTACAGATTTAGAAACTAATTGCAAGTATAACGTTACATTTATGTACCATTGTTATTTGCAATGAGAATTTATTTAAATAACTGCGCATAAAAACAATTTTTGAAATTAATATTAATGGTAATTGTAGTGACATACTTAATCAATATTAATTTGAATCAAGATCACTGGACTCATCATTCTATGATCAACTCGTAAGGAATAAGGAGGGTTAAATATTTGACATGCCCAAGCCCATAGTTCTAGAACTATATTAATAAATGTAAATCAATTCCTGTTTAGGTTATTGTCAAATAATATGATGTAATGTTACACATAAAAATTTAAATAACCTTCTCACGATATATATTTTAACTTATCATAGGTAAATGTGCAATTACGTTTTGATTGCCTAGTCCAAAAATATCAATGTGCTAGTCTACGTCTTTGTCCCAAATGCCACAATTCAAACTAAAAGAAATTATTTTGGAGAACATTTTGATACTTCAAATACTAGTATACAGTTAAATTACAACGTAATTGAAAATGCCATCGAAGAAGCTGATGAAACACACGAAAATCTTATTGAAGAGTCAAATAAAAGTGAAAGCAGTTTTGATTTTTATGATATTTAATTCATTCAATATAATTAATGATTCGATATATAAATCAAACCTTTAGTATAAAAGGTGTAAGTTGAATATATTAAATAAAGATTTAATGTTCGTGTTTATTGTTTATTTTTCTCTTGTCATTATCAGTTTGTATTACATTTTGAAAATCATCCAAATTTCAACATTATACATACTATACGCACTATACGTAATATAGAATTCAACGCACATTTGCCCATCTCTATCAAAAAGTCAAGATCACGCACAAATTGTTTTGCAAAGTTTGTGATAAAATATGTGTAGATATTGTCCATGGTGATATTCTGAATTAAGAAGAGAAGTCATTTCAACAAGTCGAAAAAAATTCTTTCGATGTGTAATATAATCATTGGTATAAAAAACCAGGTATTCCAATGAGTTTTTACTATAAGTGGTGCTTTTCTTGATGTAAGAATTCCATTGGGTCTCAAATATCTATTTTACATGCAGGTGGTTTTGTAAAATAAAATTTAACTTTTTGAAACAAGGTTTTAACCTGCTTAAAGTCAATAAATTTCCTCCAAGTTTCGTTGAGGAATAATTAGTTAATTCTTTATTAATTGAATGTCATATTAATAAAATGAAGACAATACAATATTCACTTACCAAATTAAATGCAAAATATGGCTATGTGGATTAATGGAATGTTCTTCATGATGAGTTACACATTTAAGTGTTATTAATATTAACTGAAAATTTGACTCTTTGTAACGTTCCTTGTTTCTATTTAACAGGTCCCATTTCTGGATAAACTGGTATAATTTATACAAGAGCAATGCCTATTGCCAGAACCGCCATCATCACAGAATTGTATTAGCGTGTCCTTAAGTAAATTACAAGTACAATTCTAATCAGCCACGTCTAGATCATCTGACAAATTCTCACAAAAGAACAAGTTGCAGTTATAAAAAATACTTGGCTATAATTGTGATTTCCCATCATGGTGGGATTCGTCCAAGCATGACTGGAAGAAGACCCTAGATCATTAAAAATTGCGGTAACATCCAGGCCATTAGCAAAATTTAGGAAATTTTACACACGTTCAAAAATCTTTGCAGCACCTACTCACACACATTCAAATTAAACTTGATGACGATGGATAAAATGCAGGGTTGTGTGCAAGGGAATGTTTGAAGTAGCTGTATCAGAATCGTCAGGTGCTCTTAGAATATGACGTAGGGCCGAAGGCCATTGGCAGAATAATGAGAAAATTGGGAGATTTGGATTCGGATCATGATGTTGAGGTGCATCAATTTTTGGTTGAAATAGGTATCACCAATTCGAATAAACGATAGAACGCTGATGTGTTTGTTTCACTGAATCACCAATTCTCGTGTAGGTGCTTTCCTTGAATGTTCCCAATGCCGTCGAGGTTGGTGAATCCAATTCGCACATTTTTCTGATCGATAACTCGTCATCATTTTGGAAGTTTCTAAGTTTTTCGAGCTGGATATGTTCATACTGGCCAGGCCAGTGTTGTGACCAGAAACTCTTTTGGCTTCCCGAAACGTTTCGGAAAATGAACTTACACTAAGCAGAAAACTAAAACTAAACATAAACATAAACATAAACTACTAACCTAAACTGGTTTCTGTTAGTTTCTGTTTCGGGTTTTCCCTAAACTCAGAGTTTCGGGTCACAACACTGATGCAGGCGGAGCCTTTAATAAACGCCAAAAAAACGTTGTATGATGTACCTCCCATATGTTTCTATTCTCTGCTGTCAATCCTTGAATAACCTTTATCTTTTTGTAATATCCATGGTCGTCTGAGAATAAATCCGGGAACAGCCAGGCTTCAAGATGATCAAAATTAAAAGAAACTGGTAACGAATTCGAATCAGGGTGCGAAATGTACGATCATAAATATCGTAATCGGGAGAATACCCACCCGGTTTGAGAAAATTTTATCGAAATCTTCAAAAAAGATCGGACCAAAAAAATTTTCTTAAATAATAATATGTAGAGTTTCTATTCGAATAAGGTTTATTCAAATTATCCATTTTATTCGTTATTATTATTATTATTATGAATTTGAGTATTCGAGAATTTATTCGAATAAAACGATTCGAATAAAATAACAAATTCACATTGCTAATCCCAATCCAATTAGTATTTTTTCTTATCAACCTATTTTTCCTTCGTAGTCCATGTATATAGTGATAATAATAATAAATAGCGGTAGCCGAAGTAATTGACCATTTTATTTTCTTTTTAAGTCATAGTACCAGTAACCATAGTGGTAGTAATATAGATTATGAAGAACATTCCAAATTTCCCGTGACAAATAATGTGCTTCCCTTTGATCATATATAGTTGTTTTTTGGAGGTATTTAAATAGTACATGATGATATCGCAATCCATGGCTGTGGAACTCAATGATAATCATTTGGTTTTGCGTGTACTCATAGACGGAATTGCCATGTCTGAAAACCTACCTTTTCAAAGATTATTTTACCATTTTTGAAAGAGAAAAAATGCGTATATACAGAGAAAATTAATTCGTGCGACAGGAAGAAAAGCCATATTTGATATATTTATTATTACTACTGTAAAAAATAAACAGTCAGCAATAAGCATTGAACAATGTCAATCTCGAACAAGATAATTTCGATCAGTGATATTTATTTTATCGATGTTAATTTAATTATGTAGGACTCCTTGTAAATTCTGTATTAAGGGATCCTTAAAATTTAAAGGGATCTATAAGACTAAGGATTATATAGCATTTAAGAGATCACTAAGCTCAAAGCATTAATTACCAAAAGATGTTGTCATCATTATAGTATTAAAAAATAAAATTTTGTAATTCGATATTATCTGGAAATAATCCAAGAAATTTTTAATAAATAATAGTCAATATTCATTCCCGTAAACAAATTTTTTACTTGAGAAATTTTAGCCAGGTTATTACACATTTCATGGTTTTATATTAATGCTTTTTGCTGTTTAATTAAGAATCAAAAAATCAAACTTCTTCTCCAAATAAATCTTCTTCTGAATCTATTGGTTCGATCATTACTCCATCATCATCATTATCCATAAGTTCACCACCATCACCATCATCAGCATCATTATCATCATCACCGACAACCATATCTCCTGATGATCCTGGTGCTTCTAAACCAGCTGGTGCTATTGCTTCGGAAGTTTGTGATGATTTTCGAGTATATTCCGGCTTTAAATGATAACAGTTATTGTATGGACCACGTTTATCTAATACTGCTATTTCATTTAATTTATCTTTTAAAAATGACTATTAAAAATTTGATTTTTTTGTTAATTAAATTGTTAATTAAATATATTAATTAAATTATTAAATATATGTGTGTGTGTGTGTTACCTCGGGTTGTTTTACATAATCTTTTAATCCTTTAAACGTCCAATATTTATATTGTTCAAAAGCATGAAATAACAGATTAACAAGTTGTTCGTCTGGCATACGTGTTGTTTTTTGTTCATTTGTAACTTTTTGTTTCTTTTTCTATAACGTACAACATATATATAAGCCGTTGGTTATTCAATGTATATATATGAATTATAAATAATGGTTATAATATTATTATTATTCATACCACAAGATTTCCAAACTTGGCGACAGCAGCAGCGGAAGAACCAGGTGGTACATAACCACCTCTATTCTCGTTACTTTCAATCATTTTTATTGGTCTTTTTGGTTTTGAGGCTTGAAGTGTTCTTTGTCTTAAATTTCTTCTGTAATCTTCGTCAAAAGCAGGTCTTAAAAATCGATTATCTGAAACAGTACCTGCAATTTGTACAGCTAAAACAAATAACAGCAATGATAGTAATGATAATAATTAATATACCTTTGGATAATAATATCTATAAACAAATAAATGTACAAATGTATAATCAATAATTACCTTCATTTTCAACATCGTAATCAAAAAAATAAGTACTATCCATTGTGCCAAGTAAGTTTTCTATATCATATTGTTTTGGAACGTCTATATTTGCATCATCATCCTCCAATACTAGTTTATACTATGAAAAAAAAATTTTTTTCATCATCTAAATTTCAAGAAGAAGAAAAAAAAGAAAGATATTTTCATCATTTTTACCTTTGGAGGAAACATCCCACTGATTGTTGGATATTAAACAAATAAATTGATACATTAATCGAATGGTTGATTATTTTTGTAAATAAGTAAATAGCAACAAATGCTTTATTTTATTTATTTATACTTTGCATCGTGATAAACCTCTATTCTCCCCAAAGTTTTATTAGGAGTTTCTAATTTTGTCCACTTTTGATACAAGAAGTTTGGCAACTAGAATTAATATAAACTAATATGAATAAATGTATGAATGAATGGAATAAATAAAATTTATGTTATATTTATCTTTATTTATTTATTACCTTTACCAGCCATCCATTCTGGTCAATAAAGCCATTGATGTCAAGATCTCCTACTTCTTCATCGTTTACAAAACCTTCGTCTTCATCGAATTCATAACTTTCAAATTGATCGCCTTCATGCATTACGTTATAAATTATTTAGTTTTTATAAAAAAAATATGGTTTTTAAAAATAGATGCGTATACAAAATAGAAAGATTTTAGTTGAAATACAAACTTGTGAATTATGAAACATCTTTGAATAAATAATACATGTCGATCAAAAGCAAGTCAAGTGATGACCCTTTTTACAACTAATGTGTATCCTGCCTGCCATTACAAGATGATCTTGCCTGATAATATTAGTAGTTGTATTTACTTTTCATAGTTGTCCATTGGTTTCTTTTTTGGAAATTATAAATGAAGCATTCTTTGGCTCAAAAAAAAAAAAAAAGCAAAAATCATATTGATCTATTTATGGTACCAAATTACAATCATAATGATTACTCGCTATTACATTTATTTCGACATTGACTGATATGCCTAAAATGACTTGGATAATCAAGTTTAAATCGAAAAAATTGAATAATTGATTTCCTGAGAAAATATTATTAGTTCAGCACCAAAATAAAAATAAAGCCAAAGACCTTTTTTTAAATAAAAAAAAATCAGTACCTTTATCAAAAGAACAATATAATTTGGTGTATCCTGTACTAATGATATTGCAAACAGTATAATGCTGATTTTTTAGCAATAATGAGAAAAGATGGTACATATAAAAACCGAAAATGGCATCCTGAAATTCTATGCAAACATGTAAGGATATATATTCTGTGGTTCAGAAGTTTTTCTAATGAATGATTTTTTGATTTTTAATTCTTAAAAAAATCTTAAATTCTGATAATTTTAGAACTTTGAACAACATTATTATCATCATTTATGGAAAAGTAGTTTGTGGATTTTATTCCTGTCTGGAAACTTTTTTCCATATTAAACTGGATTATTAATAAAACTTCTATATCTATCTTCCCATAAACTTTTTTTTTCGTAGGGTGAATTAGATTCGTGAGACGATTGATTACGTACACTAGAATTACGTATACACTCGCATTTTTTTAATAAATAGGGTTTTTTTTGAATACAATATAAAGTATTTATTGTAAAAAAAATTTTTTTTTTTTTAAAAAAGAAATGTCTGGAAATATTAATAACGACGCTATAGATCAATTCCGCTCTCTAACGAACGCTTCTTTTGAAGAAGCACAAAGTTTTTTAACAGTATTTTATCAGTTTTTCTTTTTTATTTATTTTATATAGAAAATTGTAATGTGCTAATTTTTTCTGTTCTAATGGATTCAAATAAAAGGCTACAGACGACAATGTAGAACTTGCTGTTCTTCTTTATTTCGGGGATGACATCCAAGCACCACCGCAATCATCACGTCAAACTTTTCCTCCCGAAAATAACAACGCTACTATAAGAGAAGAAACAACAACAACACCACAAATTACAACAAATGCAACAACAAATGCAACAACAAATGGAACAACAATTACTGCCATCGATGTTGATGATGAAAACGACGAAAACGAAGAAAATACCATCACCACCACCACAACAGAAAATATGACGACAGCTACTTCTAGTTCTAAACCTATTGTTCTTGACGATGACGATGGCATGGATTTAGATAATGAAGATGACGAAGAGATTACTAAAATTTCTCAAATTGATGCAGATGAAGAATTAGCTAAATTGCTTTATCAACAAGAAGAAAAGGCAGCAGCGGTTCGTGCACCTATTCCACCTAGAAGTGATATATTATTTGGTAATGTTAATGGTGGTGGCTCTTATTCAAGTATGATGGAAATAAATTTATATAATCTGATCTATCCATATCACTACTACATATGCAGACTTAATTGTGCATAAACATATATGCCTGCATGCTTATATCCTTATAATTAGATTAATTCTTTCTTTTTTTCTTTTCTGTGATGATTTGTTAGTACCAAATGCTCGGCGCTCACGTGAACAACAGCATAGAACTTTTGCTGGAGATATCCGTCCTCATCATGATATGTGTGCGTATATATATTCTATATTAATAACAGTATAGCATTTGATTAATTAATAAAATCAATTAATCAATTAATTCAAATCGATTATTTTATTAATCAATCAATCAATCAATCAATCAATCAAAATTAATTCAATATCAATCAACACACAATTTCAATAATAATCAATTTCAACCAATACATTAATTAATTTCATCATAATCATTAATATTTGACAGTGGCCAATAAACCTGATAGATTAGTCAAAATGTTCAGTCCTCCGTTCGATATCATGAGCACAGAGAATTTTGAAATGGTAATTAATTCATTAATAAATAAACAAATCAATCAATTGGAATAATTGGTTTAGCGAGTTGTAATCTTTATCATTTTATCATTTTTTGTTAATAATTATGATGATGTTAATGACGATGATCAAAGACACGTAACAGGGCAAAATCATCAGGAAAATGGATTATGATCAATATTCAAAGCATAGGAGAATTTTCTTCTCAAGCGCTTAATCGTGACCTATGGAGTAATGATACCGTCAAAGATATTATTAGAGCACATTTTTGTTTTCTTCAGGTAGTTATGCAAAGAAATATTATTATTAAGTTGTAAATGATTAAATACAATTTTAACATTGAACTATGTTTTTAAAAAAATTTAGTACAATTCAGATAGTACGGACGGTTCTAAATACATAAACTTCTATCCTGTTTATAAATATCCACATGTTGCTGTGATTGATCCAAGAACGGGTTTGTTTAGAATTATTTATTATCTATTATAAAAAATTTTTTTAATAAATAAAATTATTTTAATAAAAAAAAAAAAAATCAAAAATCAAAAATCAAAAAACAGGGGAACGATTGAAAGTTTGGGATTCTCAACTCGAACCAACGGAATTTATAATTAATGGTATGTGTATTTCTTCTTCCCTGATTGGTATTATATGTATATACATACATTAATAATTATTCATATTTATTATTTTGTTGAATAAAAGTGACGGATTTCTTGGATAAATATTCATTGAATGAAGAACCAAATCATTCAGAATCTTCCACTGCAAAAAAAACTTCAGATGTAACTATTATTAAATGAAAGAATTAAATTATTAGTTGCTTTCTTTGACATTTATAATTAATAATTAATAATTAATATATTGAATTTAAAGGGCACCTCAGAAATGTCTGTAGATGATCAATCAAAAGCAGAACCACAAATTTCAAATGATACTAGTGGTGATGATCAAAATACCTTCCTTAAAAAGGAAAAAGAAGTACCCAAAGTTCATCCAGTTTTTGAAGGTAGTAATATAATTGATTATCTATTTAATTTTATATATATATAAAATAATATTAAATCGCACGATAGTTAAATATTACAACGTTTGTAATATGTAGAAATTCCATATAAATCTATATTTGATTCTATTAAGCCAATTGAAAGGCCAGATCAAACAGGTCCAAAATCTACGAGTATAAAGTTTCGATTGGAAGGTAAGTTGTGGTCATCATTATTGTTGTTATTGTTGTTATAGATGCTAATGATTAACTGATTGGTTTATTTATTGTGGGGAAATAGGTCGACATGTTATTAAAAAATTTAATAAAAAAGATCCAGTACGATATATGTTTGAGTATTTAAAAGCGTCAGTTCCCGAACTCAATGATAAGTTTTTTGAGGTAAAATAAACATTTAATGGGTGTGGCATTTTCTTAATCAATGACAACTATAATAATAATTTATATTTTCCCATATTTTATTTGCAGTTAAATTATTTAAGGAATAACTTGATTGAAAAAATTGATGAAACAATTGAAGAAGCAGGATTAATCAATGCTGCCATAAATGTAGTTTTAGGATGATGCAAATAATAATTTTTTTAGTTTTTTAATTTTTTATTATTATTGATACACACATGTATATATATATATATATATATATATATATATACACATATACACACATATATATTAACTCCTTTGTTTATAATAATTTCTTTTCATTAAAAACGAGACAATAATATATTAATGTTTGTTTGTCATCAGTTTACCTACTTATTTATTTACCAATTTAATCGTTACCCCTACTATTTTCTTATATATACTAATTCACTGCTAATCTTGTTTTTTTCCAATACAATTCACTGTCATCGTCGTTAATATAAAGGACTTTTTTTTCTTTTATTTATATTGTTATACATTCTAAAATTAAAAGTGGATTTTAATCATACTCGATCAAAATCTGCTGATAATACATATGTAATATTTATAAAATTTTGCTTTAAGCAAAAACCAAAAACTTGATAAAAAAAACTTGACAAATAAATAAAGAGTTACACGATTATATATTTTCATATCCTTATCCTTGACATTAACATTGACGTTAACATTGATATTTAAAAATGATTAAACGATCAAGAATAAAATAATAGTTAATTAATGCGAGTCAATAATTACCACTATCTACAGGTTGTGTAAAAGATTTGTAAATTTTAATTATAATAAATAATCTTGCTAATATAAACAGCATCTGGGTGTAACATTGCCGTGATTGTTAAAAGGATCAAATTCTATTTTGCATATTCTTTTTTAATTGATTTTGCATCAGATCATGTAATTTTTTGAAATTATTATTATTGTTATTTATTTGATCGATTCTTTTTTATGTTTCAATACTTAAGGTTTTTAATCCGGCAATACCAAAGTCTTCCACCAATCCTACAATATATAAACCAACTCTTCTTGCACCAATCCTATAAATTTTTATATTCCCTTCATTATGAAAAATATCCAAGAATGTTTTAGCTAATTCTCTGTACCCATCTTTCATTCCATATAGGTCTTCCGCCGACGAAGCAACACTTTCATTGAAAAATTGTTGAAAATCAATTTCATGATCTGATGAATGTTGATTTGATTTTTCATCTTCTATCAATAAATCAATGTTTTTTGCTCGAATTAAATTTGTAAATTCTTTTGAGTTTTCTGGTAAATTTTTTACCTCTTTTGCCAAAATAAATACAAATTCATAAGGTTCTTCACCTTCTGAAATGTATACTAGTTGAGAGCTGGCTTTAAGTAGCTGTTCTCTTATATGTTTAATCTCGTTGGGTAAAGAGTTGGGATCTAAAGATTTGCCCAATATCACCTGTTTATTTTCATCTTGAGGGGCATTATTATTTTGTGAAACTTTTTCAAGGAAAGATTGATTCATTATTAAATGATTGGAAAAAAGAGAATTATAATTCTTTATTCTTATTATAGGGGATTACATACGTCATTTATTTATTCTGGTGGCTTTTTCATGATTATCAATACAATAAATTTTTTTTTTTTTATTTTTTAAAAAATGTCAATTTTTGGCGAAAGATTTCATACTTTTATTCGATATGCAAGTTGGATTCCTGTGATATCGTTTTTTATTGATCATGGATTTGGTTTAGCTTCAGTTAATGGACTTTCAATGCAGGTATTAATTAATTAATAATGATAAAGAGTGTGTGTGTGAGAGAGAAAAGGAGGGAAAACTAAAAGAAAACATGAAAGAATATATATATATATAAATTTAGACTATGCTACCCAAAAAAAAAAACAAAAACCTAGACTTATAAATAAGAAAAGATAAAAAAAAATTCATAAAATAAAAATTAAACAGCCAACATTTAACCCAGATTCAAACAAACTTCGTAGAGATGTTGTTATATTAAATCGATGGGCTACTATAGCACACCAATATTCTAGAGGAGATGTTGTGGCATTATAGTATGTATTAAAAAACCAATTTTTATTAAAAAAAAAAAAAAAAGAAGATAATAATTTATTTTTTAGTAAATTTTCCCTAATGTTAAGATGTGTGTAATTTTAATAAATAAAGCTCACCAGAAGATCCAGACAAAAAATTAATAAAACGAATAATAGCATTAGAGGGCGATACAGTGTTTACATTACCTCCTCATGCAAAACGCTTGGTACGAATACCTGATGGATATTGTTGGGTTGAAGGCGATGAAAAATTTCACAGTAAAGATAGTAATACATTTGGTCCGGTAATTAATATAATTCATTTTTTCTCATTTTAAAAATGAATTTATATATCATTTATAAATTTATTTATTTTAAAAGGTTCCGTTAGGTTTAATTCATTCTAAAGTCACTCACATAGTATGGCCTTTATCAAGATTTGGTAGGGTTCCGAATGTGGATAACGCAGACCGTGTCTTTGTATTTGTGGGTGATAGGTCATAACAAATAAATAAATTTAAGAAAAAAAAAATAATCAAATAAAAATTATTTATTTTATTGATTAAAAAAATTTTATTTATTAAAACATTTTTAATTTCTTCTCCTCGTTTTTACAAGTAAAAAAGCTTCACATAATGTACCTTTGTATATTGTTTTTCAAATTCATCAAATTTGTCTGATTAATGATTAGCACATCTATCCCCCAATCCTTTGCAATAATTGCCTCATTTCTTCATCATTACCAGCTCTAATAGATGTTATCTTTGGTGGTTCTAGCTCCGTTTATCAGATGATTTGGTATTTCTTGACCAGTTGATATTTTCTAAGAATAACTGGATGTTAATTTTTATTATTATTTATTATTTACTTTGTTTATTCACAAAAATTAATTATGACTACAAATGAAAGTTATGATCCCATAAAAAAACAGAATCAATAATTAATTATACATGGGTGTATATATATGTGTGTGTAATTTTAAAAGAAATTAAAATTAACTAGATTATAGATTCCTTTAGCTATGCCAGAAGTCAAATAACCGCCAAAACCTACAACACTAACAATACCTCTCATCACACTATCAACCAATCCCAAACTTAATATTACAAATTTACTCAAATACAACAAAAATATTGTAAGAAAAACCATCTCCCAAATAATTATCAACCATTTTAAAGGTTCTTGTTGATTAGAAAGGAATTTTACATGACTTTCATGAAGTATTAACAAAGTGTTGGATAATTGTCCCAAACCAAATATATCGTTTGATTGGATTGATAAATTGATGATACCAATTGATGTATTTTTTGTATTATTTACATTTGTTATATTTTGTTCTTTTTTAAAAGTCTCTAAATTTTTTTCGGTTTGTAAAGTTAATGAAGATGCCTGTTCTTTTCTTTTACTTTTCCAAAACTTCCAAATTATATCTTTAGATTTCTTTTTTTTAATAATTTCAGAATCATCATTATTGATTTTTAGTGCGGGCTTGAATTTGGTGGCGGTGGTGGTGGGAGCGGAGTTTGAGGAAGAGGAGGAGGAGGAGGAGGAGGAGGAGGAGGAATTAGAGGATAATGGTATATTCCTTCTTAACATTGTAACAGTATTAGGTATATTGTAAAGCAATAATATCCCGAAGATCTTTTCTATACATTTATATAATTTTCGCAACTTCAAATCGTGTAACAACCACACCATATAATTGCAACTTCTCCAAAAATGAAAGTGATCTCAATACTGTCTTGTTTTATGTATGGTTTTACAAATTTTGTTCTGTTTGGGTTGCATTGTTTGTCAAAGTTATGTAGGATAGAAGAATATTACTTTCCAATGGGCACAGCAGAGGTGAGTGAATATTTGGGTTGGAATATTTTTTGGTACTCTCTCTTATTGTTAGTTTAATTATAGCCATGCAAGCTTTAATGATTCATTATTTCCTTTATTATGGATCAGCTTTTTTGGTATTTTATTCACAATACCATTATGTTGGTGAAACATGTGTTGGTTAGTACAGACTATATTAGCATTTCTGGCTCTCTTTATATGCCTTTTACATTCAAATTATTGCCTTTTACTTATATTGCAATAAAGGTGTTTTTCATTTATATATACTCCTTTTCTCTATAGCATTATTTACTTGAGTAATTGTGCTCATTGATATTATTTACAGTATACGTATTTCATAAATGAAGAAAGCACAGCAACCAGTCAAGTGTATTATTACTGCAATAAATAAATAAGTTTGACTTGCGCATATATTTTTTATAATAAATATTGTGTAATAAATTATTATATAATTAGTTTTTTTTCATACAACTCAATAAGATATGTCCGAATCAATAAATCAATTGTTATCAGTTATAAAAAAAATAAAATGTATCCATTACTACATCTCATATTGTGTCTTCATGCCTTTAAAATCCTATATATATTTGGGACATATTAATATATTAAATTCGTAAATTATTGACAAAAATAGGAGATTAAATAGTACCAGGGGAAGCTTTATTATTTGTTAGTTATGTGGCTAGATTAAGAGACCAGTTAAACAATGATAAAATAAAATTCAATAACAAAATAAAGAGATGTGAAAGCTTAATCAAACCTTTATTATTTTTATCAGAACAATTCATGACCGTCAATATATTACGTGATTATGGTCATAGTCACATGTCCTGTTGTCATGAAAAGATGCTAAAAGAGTGATATTATTAAAGCTAAAAAGTGCTTTAAAAGAATTTTGAATATTTTGGGAGAAATGTTTTCTTTCTCAAATAAAATAATACCACCGTCTTCAGATCTTCTAATCTAGTTACTTGATGAAAACAACTTACTAATTTCACGTAACAGAAATTCTACACAATTGTCATTGCTGTTATACCATCTCTTATTTTTTCTATTTTTGTGTCATACTTAATTTTAACAAATCATTCAGCTTTCTTATTTAAATTATTATGATTATTCGTTGTATCTTTATAATTATGAGTAAACAGATGATATGAAGGAATGGTTTTAACAGAAAAATTCGAAATGCTATATGGTGCGCGAAGCATATAGTTACTGCCTAGTAAAATACATGAACTAAAAAAGAATAGAACTCATCAACCAATCAATTTTCTGCTGCGATAAAGTTGAATTTCAATATATGCAGAATTATCTTTAAAAAGATCAACAGAAATGGACTTCTATTCTTTTAAAATTACATGCGAGAATGGTGACTACAGACTTCGCACACCATCGAAACCTACCTACAAGTTACAAACTTTACAGCTCTTTTCGACAAACTTGAAGTGTATTGTTTTTAGTTAAAGTGAAATCGCAATTTTTTAGTTATATAGTTTAGGCTCTCGTGAACAATTAATCAGATAATTTACGTGTAGAAATTTCGTTATTAGAAACAAACTAATCTCAATAAAATTGACTAGATAAAAAATATTATTTCTTATTTTTGATTCTTAAAAATGCTAAAAAAAATAAAATTCAGGATTAATTGGGCTGAGCGAGGAAAAACTTTGTGTCTTGAATAATAAGTTGCAGTACTGTTGCAAAAATTCGGAAAACATTTAATATTCCAAATACTACAGTTTACGATGCCATAAGTGTTGTGAGAGTGCATAAAGCCTAAAAGGTACACCAAGAAGTGGCCGGCCAAAATTATTGATCAAACATTTTAATAGAAATTGCATCACAAGAAAACCGTGATTCTTTAGAAAATTTCAAAAAAATTTGTCGAGGCTAAGAACGATTTGCATGAGCTTAGAGTTTTCCCAGAGTTTCTCACAACGACAAAAGGACAATAGATTGAATGGTATATCTACGGAAGAAATTGACCAGTGAGGAAGTCATTGGAGTTTAGGAGTGATGTACCAGCTTGAGTTTGACGAAAATCGGCGAACGTTGCAAAATTGAACATTAGGCCTTCTGTTAATATAATGTTGTGGGATGTTTTCTGGCAAGGATTTTGTCCTTTAGTCGAGGAGTATGGAAAGTTGAACCACATGAATATTATATTGAAGCTTTGGATAAAAATTTGCGTCATTACTATTATATCATTATTAAAGATGGAAACCGCAATTAGCCGCAATTTAATTTTTATATGCTGCAATTAGTTGCAACTAATCGCAATTAATTGATGAGTTATCTTTAATCATTATACTGTATATAAAAATAAAAACATAGCTTAACTAACCATAAATAAAAAAGATCTTAAAAAAATTATGAATAATCAGTTTAGATAACAATGATATCAAATCTACCACGGTTGATAGCAAAATAGCATAAAGATAAATTTTACTGCATGTAGAAAAGTTATCATTATTACAATGACTAGCTCCTCCAGTATCCTATTTTGGAAAATTGCACATTTTCTTTTTTATCTTCTGTTTCTTTTTCTCTTTTTAATTCTGCAAATCCTCCAACTCTTCTTCTTGACCTATCTCTTTCACTTTCCACTCGATTTGAATTTTGTTGGGTTGTTGGTAATTTCTATAGAACCCACTCTCCCGATACAACATTGAGAACAATGACTAATTTTATTGTTTTCTTTAATAAGTTGTGCTAAATTCTAAAAAATTGAGTAGTGCTTAAAAATTCTTTATCGTAACTTCATATGGTCTTCTATTATTATTGATACTATTACTAAATGTCTATTTTCTAATTTTCAGCTAAGAATTCGAAACACCAGCTAGCTACTTATGCGCGTGTTATCAAAATTCATTAGATCCAAATTGTGTGTTATTATTATCGTGGTATTATTTATAATCTACATACACAATTACAGTACAATTGATGTCCAGAGTACAACTTGTTAGTGTGAGAAGCTTTCTTTAATCGGTAATATGGTTGTTCTGTACTCGCAATGTTTTTTTTTTTGAAGATAAACATTCACTGTTTGCCCTATTAAGTCGAGCATCATCGAGTTACAAACTCAAACAATGAATGTCTAAAAATCTCTTGAGTAGGTCGTGTGTAGAGTATGAAAGTATCTTCATTGTTAGTATTTGCAAATTTTAATATAGGTAGTGGCTGTTGTATTTTCAGAATCACATTGGTTAAAGGAGAAATTGAAGGATTCGTTAATAGTGCGGTGCAATGTTGCTAATTATAGATAAAGCAAATGGTTTTTTTCTATAAATAATAATATTCGTTAATTTCAAAGTTAGATTGGACTTTATGCATTTGTAAAGAACAATTTACAGTGTGTTGCGAAAAAAATGGCACTAATGAAGAATAGCCTATCTCAACAACTACAAAAGATAATTTAATAAAATTACATTCATTTAAAAGCCTATTGAGTGGTTTGTCAAATAAAAAATTTTTGTTATGCATCTTTTTTTAGATGTCACTAGATTTTAGACTTTCACCAAAAAGTATTAGACATCTCAAAGTTAACAATTAAACATAATAATAACAAAAAATACAGCTATTTTGCAGCTCAAGTTCTAGCGATTATTTATATAAAATCACATGCTTCCAAATTTTCTAGAATTTTATCAATTAAATTCAATTATTTTTGGAAAAAGAAATTTAATATAAAGCTACATCAAAATTTCTATATGTGATAAAGATTGTCTGATAATTTTTATTATATATATGATTTTTATTACTTCTTTAGTTAGAATGCAGGTGCCATTTTTTTGCAACACACTGTACATTTTATTAGGAAAGTGTGTCATGACACTTCTAGTTTCTAAGAATAAATAAATTCTTCCCGTCCCTTTTTTCATACTTTATTTAGACAATTTTTTTTGTTATTGTTTTCATATAAAAAATAATCAAAAAGTGCCATTCTCTTATTGATATTTTTGCAATTTCCAGTAAAAATTTTCTTTTCTTGGCATATTCTGTTGTTCTTAATATTATTTGTGAATAATTAAAATAAAGTTTGCTTGCTGCATAATAATAATAAAAAGAAAATGATTCCGGAGTTATTAATATATTAATACATACTAATTAATACTATTGAATAGTTTATATAAATATCAATAAAATAAGTCTATGAGAGAAACTTTATCCTATTTATTCGATATGAACAAAGGATATCTATTCAACCAAAGCAAAAAAGTTATCTTGACTTTGTTTTCACTCCTTCCACTTGTGACTGCATCTATTGTCAACGAAGAATATAAATCTGAACAGGATGTGTACGATGCAATTATTAACACATTCTTTCCAGTATTTTTTGTCATTCTATTCAATGTTTCAGGGAAAACTGGACCCATCAAAAATGTGCTGTTACCATTACTGGATGACTTATTATACAACACTGTCACTTGGATGATTCCGCTGGTAGTTTCTTTTGCCTATGATGATTTGTCGAGTATAAAGATATTTTCATTTGTAAACATGGGCTCGCATCTAATTTGCGCAGTAGCCGCGATAATTAAGTATAAAAAAGTTGAAGATATATCTTTTTCTTTTTGTTACATCTTTGCATTCTTGATATTTTTTCCAGCGATAGTCATTCCAACATTCTGGATTGTTATTATTACAACTAGAAATCTTTTTGATCCGATTAGTATAGTATTCCTTACATCATTTGGGATATTGTCGGTTACAACACTCATTGCCTTTATACTAGCTTGTCTTGAGTATTGTTTTGGTCCAATACAATTACTTGAATGGAAGATTGTTGATATATTATTTGCTCCTGCATGGTTTTATCTCCCGAATATCCTACAAACATTATTTATTGTGTTAAAATGGCCAATCGATTTTTACTTTGTCAAAGCATGCATATTTATACTGGTTCTCTCTTTAACAAGGAATGTGTCCTTCTTTACAGAGGAGAAACCAGCACCTGATGAATTTCTGGCCACTTCAACAACAGTAACTCAATGTACCCTGCGCAAATTAATAGATGAAGAGCTAGAGAAGAATAAAAGTCAAGAGGAGAGTGAAACTCAAAAGGAAATAACCAAGGCAGTGAACAAATCAATGGCCAAAATGAACAAATCAATAACTGAGATGAAAGAATCAATAATGGCTGAAATGATGATAAAATTGAAAAATCAAGATATATTGGATGAAATTGTGAGTGAAAGAGGTAGCAAATAGATAATAATAATGGCGATTTTGTTGAGTTTTCTTTTAGAAAGGACTAACAGTATACATGTATTTATTTACTGTTACATCTTATATGCAAAAATAAAAACATAAGTAAAAAGTTCTTTAATGATGTCACATCTATCACAGTTGACAGCAAAATAGCATAAAGTTAACCAGAAAGATAAATCTTACATAGAGAAGTTATTATTATCACTATGACTAGTTCCTCTAGTCCCTACTTTGGAAAATTGCACCCTTCCATTGTCTGCTTTTTTATCTTCTGTTTCGTTTTCTCTTTTTAATTCTTCCTTTTCCTCTGCAAATCCTCCAACTCTTCTTCTTGAACTGTCTCTTTTGATTTCCACTCGATTTGAATTTTGTTGGGTTGTTGATAGTTTCTATAGAACCCTACTCTTCTGATACAACATTGAGAACAATGACTAATTTTATTGTTTTCTTTAATAAGTTGTGCTAAATTCTTTTTCAAAGAAGGGAATAGAAAGTTTGAATAGTGCTTAAAAATTCTTTGCCATAATGTCATATGATTTTTAAAAACTTTACCCAGAATTCTCATATGGTCCTCTATTATTATTATTAATACTATTACTAGATGTCTATTTTCTAATTTTCAGCCAAGAATTCAAAACACCAATGCGCATGTCATTAGATCCAAATTGTGTGTTATTATTATTGTGGTATTATTTATATTCTACATACACAATTACAGTACAATTGATGTCCAGAGTACAACTTGTTAGTGTGAGAAGCTTTCTTTAATCAGTAATATGATTGTTCTGTACTCACAATGTCTTTTTTTGAAGATAAACTTTCACTGTTGCCCTATTAATTTGAGCATCATCAAGTTACAAACTCAAACAATGAATGTCTAAAAATCTCTTGAGTAGGTCATATAGAGGATGAAAGTATCTTCATTGTTAGTATTTACAACTTTTAATATTGGCAGTGGCTGTTGTATTTTTAAGGTCATATTGGTTAAAGGAGAAATTGAAGGATTCATTAATAGTGCGGTGCCATGTAGAGGTTGGAATCGACTAAAATAGTCAACTAAACTTTTTTTTGAACAACTAATACTAAATAGTTGACTATTTTAATTGATTACTTAGTCGACTATTTTAGTCAATTATTATTATTTAATTGACTATTTTAGTTGACTAATTAGTCAACTACTAATATTAATACTAATACTATGTTAATATTATTATTGACTGACCAATTATGATTTTTGTGTTTTATCATTCAAAATAGAAAATTTCTATGCAGAAGAGTATCAATACCATCAATATGATGATGACAACAATAGTAGTGATCTTGTTTTGATAATTTTACATGCGAATGAATAAATACTCTCAATACAAGGTCCAATAATTCATTGGCTTCAAGTTCCAATGATTTAAGCAGTGGTTCCAGAAGCAGTTGTGTTTACTTTGTCAAAAATTATTTCGTTGACAATTGTTTCCATCAACACCCATTTCATTGACACCCATTTTGTTGTGGGAAGTTAGTTAAGAAATTAGGTGAGGAAAGTGGAGTGTGTGGGAAGTGTGAGGAGAAATTTGTTTAATGAAGTTTTTTTTTTGTGACTAAATAATTTTTGACAAAATAAAACAAACTTTTGACAAAATGGGTGTTGATGAAATGACTGTTGACGAAATGAATCAGACCTGTAGCATGTGGTGAAACTTTTTTTGTAGGGTGGGTTCCATTTGCCGCAGATATAATGATTTTGGAGAATTCTTGCCAAATTGATCAAGGATTTGGGCTGTTGAATTAGAAATTTTGGTTTTGATTTTTCAATCATTAGGTCTATTTTGTTTGCAAACTTTGTCCATTGTTTCAGAAGTAGTTGCTGAATAGTTAAATATTTGCCATGAAAATGTATTGGTTTTTATGGAATGTGTTGTTGGTTGTGAAGTTAAGTTAGATATCTCAAATGAAGATATAATTAATTTATGATCAGCATTGTAAAATGGAGTAATATCAATTGATTTGAATGAGATTGGTGTAAGTGATAATGATGGTGATATCCAAATTTGATCAATCCTTGATGATTGGATACTATTAGACCATGTATGATGTGTATTGTCAGAAAAGAGTGAGTGATGCAATATCTAAGAAATTTTTTGACATAAGGTGATATGTTACTTTGTATTTTATGGCATGATCTTGATGATGTAAGTATAGGGTGAACATTCACAGGATCTGAATTGAAATCACCCATTATAATTAAAGAGAAATTATTTTGCAGGCTTTGATTGATGAATGAGATTGGTTGATTATGAACTGGAATTAGTATGTTGGGATCTGAGATTGCTGGTGGATAATTTGAAGATTGATTTGATTGGGGAAAAGTAAATCTGCAGCTATGTATCTTCCTTTTGATGATGTGATTTTTTGGACATGTTTTGTTAGGAAAGGTGAAAGTATTAAGCCAACACCTGCACTGTTGGGATGATCAGGATCACAGTCCCACCATCCATGATAATCTTTGGGAAATGGGTAGCAATATTTTGCTGATTTAGGAGGCAATCTAGTCTCTGATATACCTAAAACATCTATTGAGTAGTGACTAATTAATGAGTTAATGGCATTTTGTTTGGTAATTGTGTTTAATCCTCTAGCATTTATTGTTGCAAAATTTCCTATGGTAGTTGAGAGTAATGGGAGTTGTAAAAAATTTGATGGACAAGATTGTATGTTAATGTATTTATGTGTTAAGAGAAGATGTTCATCTGGAAGTAGAATATGTGTTTCACTATCATCAGGAAATTTTTTCTGATGTAAATTTACATAATATTATGGGGCCCACCATAAACTTACGTAAATAGTGTAATATTATGCAAAAATTGCACAAAAATTACGCAATTATTACATTCAGTGTAAATATTATGTCCTTTTTATGCGAAATATTACAACATTTCATATTAAAACTTACGGATGTAATATTAGGGCGGGAAAAGTTTCCTGATGATATGTTGAGTTGACTGAAAATTTTATGGAAGTGGTATCTATATCAGGGTGATTGTTTTTTAAATATCTAATGAGTAAATTAATGGTTTGTGGGTGATTTATGGGTTTATGAGAGTAAAATGCTAAAAATTTGTTGAAATATTTCATTTTGTAGCTTCCATGGAAGTAACAACCTGAAAAGGATCATATGATTCTCAGAGTGAGTCAAATGTTGGTGCAAAAGTTTAAAGTATAATATCATCTGTGTGAGTTATTGCATATTCTGTACCAAATGTTGCTTGACAATAATTGAAAACAGCTGAACGTGGTGGAGAAGTTTGAAGTGATTTAAGATGATCATCAAGTATTTGTCTGTGATCTTGATCCTGATTGCTTTTGTCAAAACTTGGTATAAAATCTTTTATGATAAGATTAATAAGAATTTGTTTATTGGCATGAAATAGAAAGCCTGTTATTTTTTGTTTGTTGTGAGAAGAGTACAATTTGAAATCAATTCTTTCAACTGCTAAATTAACTGCTTCATGTAATTTGGCAGTTGGAATATTAGCATCAATACTTGAAAAATCAATTGTAGGGAGAGTTAATGTGGATTGAAATATTGGGCATGTTATCTTGTGCTTATTTTTTTCTGAGCTTGAATCTACACCACAGTGTGTGCAAGTTTTAGGGTTGTGAAATTTTTCAAATGATTGTTTCCAGTATTTGTCACAGAGAGTTTCAAACCCTTCATCTGATTTATAATATTTAATATGCCAATTTGCCATTTGACAAACTGCATATTGTCTAGTTTTAAGGGAATTTATTGTATATCTATCCCAAGAAGGAGGTGATGTAACAATTTCAAAGTATCTTCTATGGAATTCTTCATATATTTTGCTACGGAGGAATCCAAGTACTTTTTCTTTTTGTGTTGATGGATGATGAACTTTGTAGTATGGATAAAATTTTGATTCAAACCAGGCATCAAAAAAATTTTTTAAGGATGGGATATTAAATTCCATTTTTTCCAAAGGAGGGAGATTGAAATATATATATATTGGTACAAAGATTTGCATGGACAACTGATGTAATATAAGGGTCATTTTCATTGTAGTTTTCATGAGGATTGACAATAAAGTGAAAAGTAATACTTGGTGTAGTTGGTTTAAATTTGCTAATAGGATCATCTAGAGAAAAAGGAGTGTATTTGTTTAGAAGGTATAAGTAGAATTGAGCACAGTTTCTAAACACATTAAGACAGTTATTATTGTGGTGAAGGTGGAATTTTAGTGGCGAAAAATTTGACATAGTCAAGTTTGGTAAAAATATAGCCAAGTAAATTGCATAAGTTTTTTGTAATGAATTTTCTTTTTGCAGATTGAAGAGTGAATAAATTAATGTCAATATCATTTTTCCATTCAGTAATCAATTTGTTTGGTATATTATTTGAAAGCATGTCAATGGTTTTATCAAAGGTAGTGAAACCTGGTTTAAATGCATGAATTCCTGGAAGTATATAGTTGTAAAAAGAATGGAAGTATTTGTTGTTGTTTGGAAAAGTATATGGCAAAGATTCATTGTGAGGGATGATTGATGAGAAGAGATGAATATCTGGTTATCTGTTGATCTATTTTTATTTTTTGGTGTAATTGTTTCTGCATATGTTTTTTTAATTTTTGATCTTGATTATCCATAACAATATCTATATCAGATGAATCCTGTTCATCAGTGTTGTTGGTGTTAGCATTGGTGATTAGATCATCTGTGTTTGTATCTAAATTAAGTGCAACATTTGGTGCAGCATGTGCAACATTAAGTGTAACATTTGATGTAACATTATGGAAGGGATTTTGAGTTGTGGAAGTTAGTATGATGGCTTGGGGAGAGATTGTATTGTCAGAAGAGATGGATTTTGTATCCATCATTTCCATAGATGTATTAACAGTGAGTTTAGGAGTTGAATAGGAACAAAAAACAGTTGGCTTTTTGAATGAACAATTCAAATTACAGGTAAAAGATTTGCCCAAAACAATGATTAGTATTCATTTGTTAATGTATAAACAAATGTTTGATTGCAGTTAATACAAGTAATCAAGTAGTAGTCTTCTTGAGGGCAGACTGAACCAGAAGGAGAAGAAGATCTGTCAATTTTCTTTTTTGCTGGAGTGGGAGTAGGTGGGACTTTGTGTCCAGTTTTGGTTTTATTACAATTTCTTTTATTTGTCATCTTAACTAGGATTAATAACTATTGTATGGATGAAAAATAAAGTAAAATATGTTTATGATTTGGTTGTTTTAATTAAAACAGTAAATTCTTTTCTTTGAAAATTTTTATTTTTTTCAATTATTTCTGTTTGGGTTTTAATTATAATAACTAATAAAATTTTATTATATAAAAATGATCAAAAAAAAAAAAGAACAATGAAAAATAAATAATATATGAGATATATATATAATAATAATATATGGGATGTCCACCAGCAATATGAGTGACTGAGACTCCTAGCCAAAATTGAGATTTTTGCATAATGTATATCTATATCATAAAGATTATAGTTGGTGAAAAATTTAGACCATGTTTCCTAGTACAATAATGATAATTACACAGAACAATTTAATAGTCTCAGACCCTTGTTTTGCTGGTGGACATCCCATATAACAACAAGAATAATAATAAATCATCATTCTAATACTACCCACCTCTACCACTATTGTCATTACCTTGAAGCTTATTTAACCCATAGATTTTGAGATAAATATATTTTCAATATTAATATACTGCTGAACTAATTCTGTTGATGAAATATATGATGTTCCAGCTTGCTTTATTGACACATTTAGTAGATGGCTTGTATAAACTGATTCTGGATGATGCTTGTAATTCTTTGTGTCTGACAAATATTTTTCTGAATTGATAATTTCTTGTCGTTTAGCTTCTGCTAATTCAATAATTTTTTTTTCTTTTTCAGAAGCAGAAAAGCTCAAAAATTTATTTAGATGAACTTCAATTTCTTTAGCTGTCGGTCTATTTTCTGGATTATGATCCCAACATTTTTTCATCAATTCAGCATAGAATTCAGGAGTATCATCGGTGATTTGAGGTCTCTCTCCTTTTAAAATATCTGATATAAGACAATGGTTATGTGGTCTATCATAGTATGGTTTCTTTCCTGTAGTGTGCTCCCACATTATCATGCCAAAACTGTAAATGTCTGATTCTTTTTTATATGGTTTTTTTAATAACCTTTCAGGTGCTAGGTATGAAATAACTCCAAAGATTTTATTTTGTTTATCTTTTTTAATATCTTGATTGTATGAAAAAATATTGCCACCATGCAAGTCATGATGAATGTAATTGTTTTCATGAATATTCCATAATCTAATACATTTGACAACAAAAAAAAAAAGATACATTATAATTATTTTATTAAATGATTCCAATAATAAAATTTTAAAACTTACGCAGATGCAACAATATATAATGAAGCAATTTTATTCTCCCAAGTAAGTTTTTTGAAATTTTTTAAATTGTTATGTAAATCACCATGTTTAGCAAATACCAACAAATAATCTCTTTCTTTAGGATCTTTAGTAATTCCATAACATTGGCTAATATAATTTCTAACTCTAACTTCATTATGTGCTTTTAACTAAAAAAAAATTATTACAAAGTATTAAATAATAGATAATATACAAGGTTAATACATTTACTAATTTACCTCTTTTAAAATATCTGAAATTTTATATAATTTTTTTAATACAACTTCCTTTGCTTCAAGAAAAAAATTGCTAGTCCATGTTGCTTTATGAACGTCTCCAAAACCACCTTTAGCCAAGTATTCAATATTATTAAATTCATTATAAGGAATCCAATATATATTATCACTATATTGTGCATATTGTTTACATTCATAAAAAAATTTAGCTATTTCTTTGTTTCCACATTTATCAGTTAATCTTTCAATTTTTTTTTCTTTGCAACCATCACATAATAAATTTTTTTTTATTTCTTTATCAATATTAATAGATACTTCGCATAATTTCTGGATTGTATATATATGTGATTTATGACCTTTTTTTGTTAATTTATCTGTAAAATTTTTTAATTTATTTATTGATTTATAAAAAAAATCAAAATAATTTTTTTTTATGAATTCTTTGCAATTGGTACAATTTTCTATTAATTTTAATGAATCAATTAATTCATTTAATAAAGTATAAGTGCAAACTTGGTCACTGGTTAGATGAGTATCACTGTATCCATTTGGCATTATGATGTTGAATGATTCATTTAATGAGTTGTATAATGTATTTATATCAGGATCCAAATATTTTTCTGAATTGATAATCTCTTGTCGTTTAGCTTCTGCTAATTCAATAATTTTTTTTTCTTTTTCAGAAGCAGAAAAGCTCAAAAATTTATTTAGATGAACTTCAATTTCTTTAGCTGTCGGTCTATTTTCTGGATTATGATCCCAACATTTTTTCATCAATTCAGCATAGAATTCAGGAGTATCATCGGTGATTTGAGGTCTCTCTCCTTTTAAAATATCTGATATAAGACAATGGTTATGTGGTCTATCATAGTATGGTTTCTTTCCTGTAGTGTGCTCCCACATTATCATGCCAAAACTGTAAATGTCTGATTCTTTTTTATATGGTTTTTTTAATAACCTTTCAGGTGCTAGATATGGAATAACTCCAAAGATTTTATTTGGTTCATCTTTCCTATTTATTATTTGTTGAAATAATCTCTTGCTAACATCTTGATTGTATGAAAAAATATTGCCACCATGCAAGTCATGATGAATGTAATTGTTTTCATGAATATTCCATAATCTAATACATTTGACAACAAAAAAAAAAAGATACATTATAATTATTTTATTAAATGATTCCAATAATAAAATTTTAAAACTTACGCAGATGCAACAATATATAATGAAGCAATTTTATTTTGCCAAGTAATTTCTTTAAAATTTTTTGATAAATTATTATATAAATCGCCATTTTTAGCATTTTCAAATACCAACAGATAATCATTCTTTTTAGGATCTTTAGTAATTCCATAACATTGGCTAATATAATTTCTAACCGTAACTTCATTATGTGCTTTTAACTAAAAAAATTATCATAAAGTATAATTAATAATAGGTAATATACAAGGTTAATATATTTACAAAATTTACCTCTTTTAAAATATCTGAAATTTTATATAATCTTTTTAATGCAACATCCTTTGCTTTAGGAAAAAATTTACTAGTCCATGTTGCTTTATGAACTTCTCCAAAACCACCTTTAGCCAAGTATTCAATATTATTAAATTCATTATATGGAATCCAATATACATTATCACTATATTGTGCATATTGTTTACATTCATAAAAAAATCTAGCTATTTCTTTATTTCCACATTTATCAGTTAATCTTTTAATTTTTTTTTCTTTGCAACCATCGCATAATAAATTTTTTTTTATTTTTTCATCAATACTAATAAATACATCACCTAATTCCCAGATTGTATGCACATCTGGCCTATGATCTTTTTCTTTTTCTAATTTATCTGAAAATTTTTTTAGTTTACTTAATGATTTATAAAAAAAATCAAAATAATTTTTTCTTTTGAGTTCTTTGCAACTGGCACAGTTTTCTATTAATTTTAATGAATCAATTAACTCATTTAATAAAGTACTAGTGCAATTTTGATGACTGGTTAGATCATTATATTCATTTGGAATTAATGACATTATCATGTTTAATGATTCATTTAACGAGATATATAATTTATTTATATCAAGCATAATGGAAATTTCTAAATGTCGATCATTTTCCAAAAAAAACACATTAAAATTATTTTGATTTTTATTCCTCAGGAATTAAAATCTTTAAATATAGGGCATGCTGCAACAAAACCAAAGTGAACATTGATATTATCAAGAATTTCAGGAATCAAAATTTAGTTATTATCATTGTACTTTACTATTACTATTAACATATGGAAGCCACTTAATATAATTCATCCATAATTTGAGTTGCAGCAGCTGTTAGCAGTTGTTGCCGCAGATTAATTATCATGGCCATGATTAGTCAACTAGTAACAATAATAAAAAGAACAAATCAAAAATTGGTTTTAATATTAAAATATTAGCAATTTTTGTTTATTTTTAACACTAATAATTAATCAAATTAGTTGATATTTTTATAATTATATAATAATAGTTTGCATATAAACAGCAAGTAATAAGTAATATCTTGTAAATAAGTTCGATATTCACCAATACTCCAACTACATTTAAAATAAATTTATAAATAATGGTATCCTCATTTTCAGACATTAATGAATCCTTGGTGATAAAATTGTTTTTGATATTGTCAAAGATTTATTACCATCATTTTGTTTCTTAGATAACCTGGGCTTCTTGTCCAAGTTTTCTATTAATTGTGCATAATATTTGCTGTATTCTAAATTTAATATAAAATATTACTTTGGTAAAAAATTTAATTATGCAATGAATTCTTAAATGAATTCTTAAATGAATATTTGAATACTTACAATTATTCTTTCAATGATTTCATAATATTTGTTGTGTTCATTTGAACAGGTATTGCTGAATAATCAACCAATTTTATTCTATAAATTCTGTTGGATGGTTTGTTTAAACTGTAAACATACAACTTAAACTCTCTTGAATTGTGAAAAAATGATTAATTTATAATTAAATTAATGATTATTTGCAGATAATAGAATAATTACCATTAATTATAATGCCAAATACTTTTAAATCTCTAATATTTGTAGTATCTCCATGTTCAAGACTACCATATTTTTTATAAAAGTAATTCAAAATTTAGTCATGTATGTCTTTTAACATGCCTTTCTAGTGTCATTTAAAAGTTTATTTTTGTCTTTATACCATGGATGTCCAATGATTTCGCCAATAAGAAGTTCAAATGGGACCATCTTACCATTGTCATTATAATGTTTTCTTGCAAGGAATGTGACATCAGACTTACATCCTTTACGACCCTAAAAAAATCAAGGTTTATTTATTAATATTAATTAATTTACCTTATACCAAAGGAACATAAATACATACACTGTTGCATTCTTCAATGAATATTCTTTCTTTGGTACTTTGGTTTATTTTATCTGAACTAAAATTAAATCAATGATAATGATTTAGTATTTCCCACAAAGAAAAAATTTTTTTTATTCCTTACTTACATCAGCAATCTAATGTGGCTTTGTTTAACAAAAAGACACTCTTAATGGCAACCAAATAGAGTCAAGAGACCAGGTCCCTTCATTGAAATCTAATTTTTTGAATTTTCCATATTCTTTCATATTTCTTAACTTATAGCTAGTAATTGGAAATTATTAGATGATTTTATAATTAATTGTATGCATATATATATATATATATTATAATATTATATATTCAAAAAAAAATCTGATAAGGCATACAAGTGATTCTTCAAATCTTTTATTGTTGCTTTTTTCAATCTGGAATAATTAACTTTGCAATACTTTGAGGTCTCGTTTAAAGATAAAAGTTTCCATATGTCCTTAGGGAAATGCTCTGATATCCATGGATGTGCATTTGGTATATCCAAGATGCAGCTGGACAAGGGATCATCATAATCCATGTATCTTGGAGCATATAAGTTAACAAAATTTTTTAAATTGCTAATAACATCAGCACCCTCAATTATCCAAGAATCCTAAAGATACAAATAATAATTAAAATATGTGTTGGGTAAATCTTAAAAAAAATATTATAAAAATACCAAAAGCATGAACAAAACATGTAATAATACTTCAATCATCATTATTTCAAGATCGTTTTTCAATATCACAACTTCATTCAGTAATTCATTTGTTTTTTCAACTAAAAATGATTTATGATAATCATATTAATTATACAAATTAAATCAATTCATAGATTGCCCAATAACTAGATGATCAGAATAAAGTAATGGTAATTTAATCTTATTGAAGATATAATTTAATCTTATTGAAGATATAATTTACTTACAGATGATGGTGTTGTGGAAGTGTTTAATAATCCTCTATTGTTTTCCTATGGGTCAGAGATTGGATTAATATTAAAAGCAGTTAATCTTATCAAAGAGAATAAGTCTAATTTAATTATTATTACTTTATTATTTTGACTGTCAAGCATTGGTCGTTTCTTTCGCCTAAAGAATAAATATTAAATCAGGAACTGGAATGGCTCATACTTGCCGATTTTCTTTAATTTCATTTCCATTTTTTCTTTTATTATTTGGTTGTCTACAATTTTTTTTTAAGAAATACAGTCAGCGCTCAATATACAATTTTTCAAAAAAAACTATATAGAAATGACAAGTTGCAAGAATCGCAACCGACCACCATTCTTTAATAAAACTAGAGTGACGCCAAGTAGTAATGACCATAATTCTTATGATAAACACTTACTCATGTTCAGTGTTGTGACCAGAAACTCTTTTGGCTTCCCGAAACGTTTCGGACACTAAGCAGAAACTAAACCTAAACCTAAACATAAACATAAAATACTAATCTAAACTAGTTTCGGGTGGTTTCTGTTAGTTTCTGTTTCTGGTTTTCCCTAAACTCAGAGTTTCGGGTCCACAACACTGCTCATGTTGTGCTTTTTCATCGACTTTTCTTCGTTTTTTAGATTCTTTACGAGGCATTGTTAGCCTTGACAATAGTTGTGGTGATGGTGCGGAAAAGAAAGCAAAACTAAAGAGTTAATAAAAATTAATATATGAATACTTATTGACTATTTTTAATTATTTCGTTTAGTTAAATTAGAAAAATTAACTTTATAATAAATATGAATAAAGACAAAATTATTAAATGAATCGCGTTAAAAAAATTATATTTATACGTACTACTAAATTTTGATCCCTGAAATTCTTGGTTATACTAATGTTCACTTTGTCTGGTATGCCCCATATTATCTTCAAACAATTTACCTTTTTATCAATTTACCTACAAACAATAATTATCTATTGGAAAATATAATCTTAATACCGGTCAATAGATTATCCTGGACAATATTTTCATCATAAAGCAATTACTCTTCAAAAGAGATATAGTGGTCCAGAGAAAATTTTGCATTTGGTTCCTTTATTGGAGTTTTTACATGATTCCCTGAATACAAGAGAAACTACCATAAGAACTATTACCAAATTTTTCAATATGTTTTATAAAGGAAAAAAAAATGAAGTTTAATAATCATGATGACAATAGCAGTAATAATAATGACAAAATTTGTTAACAAAAAGAAAATAATATACACCTGACAATAAATTTGTTAACAGCAATAATTATGACAAATTTCGCTGATAATGACAATGACAATGATTAGTATTAGTAATCTACAATTGAAAAAATACGAATCACATTCACAAGCATATCATAAAGTAGAACATTAAATATTAATTCTAAATCAAATAGCATCAATAATGTTGTAATTCTAGTTATGGAACTTCAGTATACGAACCTAGAATATGAACAAAGTGCTATACTATTACTATTGGTAGATATTATTTAAAATATTTTTTATGAAAAATACCATTTATGAAGATATAAATAAAGTTGTTGATGCTGATGATGAAAATTATTTTATATTATAACGTAACAATGTCTTTTTTTTATTTTTTTTATGACCCATTGAAAGGAAATTGCAATTTTATATATTATGATTTCTTTGATATTCCCTATCACCTATGCTATTATTAAGGTGCCCATTAGCACTCAATAAACAAACTTCATTTGTATTAAGCTACTGCTTTATCGATCTTTCTATATAATGGTTTATATTTGTAATGTAATTTTCATTTTTTTTTTTTGTTTATGTTCCCAATTGATAACATTGTTATTCCTTTTTCTTTTTTATCATAATGTAATTTTTTATAAAGTAATTTATTATATAAGATATACATTTTTATGTTGTCATATTAATAGTACAAAAAAAAATTTATTACATAAATAATAACTATAAATAATTTGATAATGAATAAATTGTATTTTTAATTTGAGTATAGTTTTTAGCATTTCCAGATGATAATTTACCAATTTCAAATACATCCCAAGTATTTTTAAATTTATTCCTAGTAACAGCACACATTATTACAGCTTTTGAATTGGCAGCAGATTTTAGTTTATAGCTGCAAAGTTGATCTTCGGGTCTTTCAGTATCATACAATTTAAAGCTTGGATTAGGAAAACATCCAATATCAGGAGAATTCCATGATGATAATATAAAATATAATTTTGTTATAGATGGTGGTAAATCCGACAAGTTTGCTTTTATAGAATGATGACCTATTATATTATTTAAGAAAATACAAGTCAGAAAATCAATTTTTTTAAAAAAAATAACATTTAATTAATTAAGTTACCTATTTGATTAGTGGAATCCATTATATCACCTGAATGATACATACTTGGAATATCATCATATAACTTTGAAAGATAATCATATTTTCTAAAGAATGTGTCATCTTTATAAAGAAGACAAGTTCCATCCAAGTAATCTATTTTGCCATTAGGATATCCCCATTGCAAATCAAATGTCAAACTCTTGAGTGATTGATTTTTGGTAATTGAATAAAGTAAAACTATTAACTGTATGTGACAATCTTCAACAATTTTATATTCTGCCAAGGTACTCTCACTACTGTTATTACTTTTAAAATCCTACTCATATAAATAAAGTAAGTAAATATACAAATGGCATAATTAACATTTGACTTAAATGATTGATTATTATTATTTATAAAATATTTTTTACCGTTAACTCATTTCCGTTATAAATTAATTTTTGTTTATTAATTTGTATATTTATTTCTGATTTTATTGCTCGTTTAAGTTGAATAATTGTTTTTATTGTTTCCAAACTAAATCTAATTTTATGCCCATTGATCATAATAACATAGAAGTACCCACTAGCAGCAGTGACTTTATTTTTCGATGGATCATTAAGTGGATTCAAAGTTGCGACAATTTCGACGTCAATCTTAAAAGGTGCTTTCTTCCATGTCAATATTAAATTTTGAACTTCTTTTTGACTGAGAGAAGATTTACACTCTGGGCATTGGTTTGTTTTTGAAGTATCTAAATGATTTACTATACATTTCAAACAAAAATTTGGAACATGTTGACATTTACTACTAATAATATCATTAGCAAATTCTCTAGATAATTTATTTAGTTGACAATTTTTACATTTCATTTTTGGGAAAATGAAAATACTAAAAATGTTTTTATTAATATTAACAATTAGTTTTGGAAATTTTTTATGTACAACAAACAACAACACACATTATCAATAATAAAAAAGCAAAATTCTAGATATTTGATTTAAGTGATTATCATCAATATTTTATATATATCACATACAGTTTCAAAACCGTTGCTAAAAAAACAGAGTTTCAAGTGCTCAATACTTATAAAATGAAATTTTCCATCCAAGAATTTTTTTAATTATTACCATTATTACACCAAACCAATTTATTGATTATTTAATTTATATACTGTCAATAAAGCATCATTGACACAAATATAATCTTTTGATATAACAATTTACGTCATGATGAATTATTCCTTGGTTCAATAGAAATAATTTATTTGTGCAAAATCTCTACCAAATTTATCATCAAACGATAAAGCTCTTACTATAAAGTCGAATTATCAAATTCCGTTACAGTTAGACAAGAGGGAAATCTGAATCAAAACAAATAAAATACTCCATTGACAGAAATCTAAGATAGGCTTGGCTTTACCAATTTTCATTGACCGATAACCTTCGCCACCACCAAAACTAAAATTCCTTATATGCTCTACAACACCTGCAAACAAAATGATCAAGATCAAGATAGATCACCTATAGTGTTGTTACGCGTGAAAATTAAACCTACGTGAATTTGTAATTCGCGTACATGAAAATCGAATTGGCCAATCAAAAAGAATAATAATAAATATACATGAATAATTAATGTGATTATACTGGAAGCTAAAAAAATTTCCATATATGGTTGTATACCAACTACTTGTTTCAGTCATTGTAAATGCTCTTGGGTTAGAAAAAGAGTATGAAGCACATTTATACGAACATCTTCCGGAACAATAAAAATGCATACGATCTAAAGTAAGTATTAACAATTTATTAAAAAAAATTTATTTTTTCACATAGTAATTAGAATAATGGTGGTGACAAAAAATTGCATGCCTCAACAATTACAAACTTTGACCCGTTTGAAAATTTATCAATTATTTCGTTAAATAAAAAGAATTTGATATATTCTAATATTATTCTAACGCAAAAACAACATATATAATAATTTTACAAAAATTATGTAGGAAATTATGCATATAAAATTCCACGCTATCATATTTTTCAATTAAAAGTAAAAAAATCTGATTGTTTTCGAAAAAAAGTATATAAACCTTCGATTAGACAGCCATTACCCTACCTATGCTCAAGAGTGCTCATGTCTTTGGTCCTTTTGAGATTATGTACAACAGAATGAAAGGGGACATTCACTTCCTGATGTATTTTCCCTTGTTGAATGAGCATTGCCAGGCGAGTAATGTAAATGGACATCAATCTTTGCGCAACATGAGTTTGTAATATTCTGGAGATAGAAAGTAGAAATAGATGAAGAGTTTGCTATAAATGTCTTCAATGGGACATAAGAAAGTTGGCAAAGATGCTAAATCGTCTTCTTTTTAACGTTGGTTAGTTGGCTAACTAAATTTCTGACTATTGGTCAATTATTGGCAGATTGAAATAAACAAAAAGAAATGCAACCAAAACCTTTGATGAAACACAATGTAAACTGACCTCAAGGATTTGCAGCAGAAAAAAACAAACTGCCAAACGAAATATTCTGGAACTAGAAAAAACCATTGCAGAAACTTATCACCAAAAAAATTTATCTCAAGCTCAAAAAGTCAATCATCAACCACAAAAGAACTGGTAAAGTGTCAGCGATGCTTACAAACTCAATATTCATCCTTAGATCCAGAAAGCGAAAAGGTAATCTAGAAATCAATCTCAAACCCCCCCCCCAAAATGAAAACACCAACTCTGCAAGGAAAAGTAAATAAACTACATACAAAGCGAATCAAAAGAAAGAAGAACAAATAGAACTAATGATATTTGGAAGCTAACCAAATCAGAATCCATTTACAAATAAATATATATATTTGGGCTTATGGTTTCTAAATTTGGTTGGAGCGCCCATCGAATTTCACACAATGGTCACACTACAGCGGAGTTGAGGTCCACTTTGTATCAATATAAAATAATTGCATTCAATTCCTTCTGTCAATTCTAAAATAATAATAATCATTATGGAAATAGACAACGATCCAGCTCAAGAAACAAACAATATCATCATAAGAGAATCATTGACCGTCAAAAATGGCCATGCTATGATTGGGAATAGCTTTGGTAACAACACTTATTTCGCTACTAATTATAATAATGAGAAATTAACAAAGAACACCACTACCAATACCAAGAACACCACTAAGACTAATAAATATGACACCACTAAGACTAAGAAAGATGACGCCGCTATCAAATTAACTGAACAGTTATCCAAACTGACACTGGAGAATAAAAAACTGGTTCAGGAAAGGGAGTTTGAAAAACTTTTTGATCAAGCCAAAGCCAAAATAGAAAAATATGAACAAAAGAATCAAGATTACGAATTCGAAAGTCATTTGGCATATTTAAATGAAGTATTGGATAATCAGGAGGATCTAACAGTTTACCACAACACACCATCTATTAAAGCCAGACAGATGAGGGTCAGAACAGCTCAGAGACAATTAGAATTGAACAAAAATAACTTACTTCATATTCTAACTAAAGAAGAATTACAAAATCTTTGCGGACATAAAGAAGAAATAACTAAATTAAAATTGCAATTAGGATATACGGATGCTCAAACTCAATGAGCTTACCTTTATCAATTAGAAATTAAAATATTAATTACATTAATTTATTTATTGTCAATTAAAAAAATATTTTTTCACCTAAAGTCTTTTATATAATTTAGAATTTAAAAATTTTACAATCTTCAATTATTATTCTATTTATATTTATGTATTTTTATTTTAAAATCAATGATGGCAGCCAAATTATTTAAAACACAATTAAAAATTTATAGTAACTTTCTTCACTATCAACACTTCTACGTACGTTGTAAAGCCAAAAGCCATCCTCCATCCCAAATTTTGCTTGCAATTCACTTGCTGAATAATCCTATAATCATATCAATCGACCAATTAAATAATAATAAACATTATTGTTTCATATGTTAAAGAAAGAATACACTTTGAATAAACCACTAACCATAATCCTCGTGCGTTTATATTCTCAAAATATTACCAACTTCAGCTCTCAATTTACCACCAAGTTTTAACCCAATGTTTGATTGGATCGTAGAATAATCTTTTAAAGAAAAAATATATATAAATAAAGTGATATTTAAATTTTATTTATTTACAATGCTATTAATATTAAATAATTACCTGCATATTTAGCTTATTTGATACTGATCATAATTTTCTGATGTGCAATTCTTGCAAAAGATGTGTATCACAGTTTGTTGTAAACGTTTTCTCTGATATTTCTGCTGCAACATAAAATCGCAACCTTTTGATTCGTTAATATTTGAGCATTGATCTTGACTAAATTTTGTTTATCATTATCATCAATATCATCAATGCCATCATTTTAATATTATCATTATTGTCATTATTTTGTCATTGTTTTTATTATCATTGATTTCATCCAAATTCTCAATTGGATTGTTGATATTATTCTTGAATATCATTATTAATAAAACATTTGGACATCTTTCAATTGTTCTTCGATTAACAATATTCGTAACATCCAGATAAGCTTCATGGGTATATCACCATTTGTATATATTGATATTGCGACGTGAGTTATTTTTACCAGGACGTATTTTAAGTGCGTTTTGAATATTGAATATCTTTTTATGCCTGCTTTACATGCTGTATAATTAACTGATAATGATAATGATGTTGTATATTAGTTAATAAATGAATTTTGAGTTATATATATATTAAACCTGAAATTAAGCAGTCAGTACTAGAAAAGTTTGAAGGAGTACCTATAGCTTTACTTGTTCTTTTCACATATACCTTCGAAATATATATATATGTATATATTATATATTAGATATTAATGAGATCATTATTAAGAAAGTCAAGAAAGTCATTAAATTATAAATTTTTTAAAAAAAGCATTTTTACTTACCAATCTGACAGTAAAAGCGATCCATATCGATATGAATTATTATTATTACACGTTTTTGACATTTATATAATTTTTAACCCATGGGAAGGTAATTTCAATATTTTGATTTGAAAATCAGACATGCTTGTAATAAACTATCACACTATATGACTTACATTTTAACAATATATGATGGCTATAATTGATCAAGAATAGTTGGCATCACTTATAATAAAGTTAATATTATTCTTTTGGTCGGGATAAAAAAATGTGAATCAATAATAATGATTTAAATATTAATATTAAACATGTGCAATCACTGATTGGTGTAACATATTATTGCATTGTCTGCAAAGAAAAGAACCCGTCTAATGTCATAAAAAAAAAAAAAGGCTTTTCTCGGGCTGTTCGGCACTTGCATAGGTAGATAGATAGATAGATAGATAGGCTTTGAAAGATGGTTTCATTTACCAAAAAAATCATTTGTTAAATAATTAAGTTTAATTTCATTCAGCATTTTATTAATTAAAAAAAAAGGATTAAAAATTACAAAATAATTTAAATGTTCAACTTTAATCTTTGTTATCATTAGTAGTTAAAAGATGATAATCCTTATTTTTGACCACAACATTGTCGTCTTCTTCATCGTCGTCATCTTCAATAACGAAATCAACATTTCGAGTCTTAAGAAGTCGTTGACCACTTTCTAAATCTTTTTCATCCATAGCGATTTCTTCTTGTGCTTGGTTTTTATCGACTTGTTTTGATTCGTAATCTTTTATCCAAGTGTATAAGCAACTTCCAAATAGAATTATACCAATACTACCGATACGTCCAATAGTAAGAATATCACTGAATATTGTTACTCCAAGAACAGTTTGTATTACACCACGAAAAGCTGATGATATCATATGCGATATTGGTGATGTTACTTTAATTTGTAAAAATCCTGCAATGTTGATTAAAAATCCAAAAAATCCCTAAACACATAACGTATAAATTATTATACATACAACTATTAGTAAAAAAAATTTATATCTTCCCAATGTCAATCTTCTTTTAAGAAATTACCGTTACTACGATTCCAATTAAGAAGGTGTGAAAGGATTCAGAAGAATCAGAAAACATTTGATAGATTTGAAATTCTTCACCAGTAAACAAAATCAAAGGAATGAAACAAACGGAACTTAATAAATTATTATAATAAACCAAGTCCATTGTGTTATCCTTTACGACGGCCAAACTTTTCTTTATCACAATCGCGTGTAATGCTGTTGTGATCGATGAGAATACGCCATAGAAGACGCCAAGAAGTGAAACCGAAATTTGTTTTTCCGATGATACTCCAACAAAGAACCCAATACACACAATAAAACATGATAAAAGTATCATGTATGATGATTTCTTCTTTAGGACAATGAATGTAAATAAAACTGTGAAAGGAAGAACTAAGGCACGTGCAACCTATGCATAAAAATCAAATCAACCAATTTAATTTATTGAATTAATTGTTGGAAGAAAATAAAAGATATTGATTATATTTACTTGATAAAAGCTTGCATCAACATATTGTAGACAAACAGTGTTAAAACTTAATCCCAATACGTTAATTCCAATTAGTGGTAATACTCCAATACATATATCTTTTTGAATTTTTGGTAATTGTACTACGCCAAAAAGACTTGAGATATGTAAAAGTATTACTGCCATAACAAGTTGTGAGAAAAGTAAGGTAAAGGGAAGTGCTGCATTATTTAAAACCCACTAATACACAATTATATTGATGGCCATAATGATGTTGATGTTGATTAAACAATGATGATATTAATTAAATTTCTTTTATTATTATTATTATTATTATTATCATTATTTCATACTATTTATTTATTTACCTTATTTACAAGAACCATAACAAGTGCAGTTGTGATATAAAATGACACCGAAAAAATGACCATGGAACGACTGGCTTGCTTTGGTTTTTCACCCATTTTTTCCTTTTTTTTCTATTATTATTATTAATCTATATAATCTATACAATTGTGAATGGCAGATTGTGAAGATAAATAATATGTTGTAATATTATATGGAAATGAGCGTATCTTAGTATATAAATAAGTATTAAATACGGAAAGAAGGTAGTTTAGGAAAAAAAAGAGGATAACAAAGGTAAAGGTTTATAGAGAAAATCAATACTTCCATTCCTCTTTATGTTTCCAAAAAAAAAAAAAAAATTTGTTGATCTTTGCTAATACTATACACGTCAAACAATAATAATAAACAATAATAATATATGGAAAATATTAATAATAATCTTTTTTTGTTTTTCTTGGGACTGTTTTCTTGAGCAACGAATTTTTTTTTAGGGTTATTATATTATATAGTGAATGGTAGAGGGGAGGTCACATCTTAATTAAGAATGTTTAGATCAAGTTCAGCTTGTACCGTATTTTCTTCAATAAATTTTCTTTCAATAAAACTTTTTTAGATTATTATTATTTAAATATGGATATAGCAATTGATTTAAATTGTTTTTTCTGAACATCACCTAATCTTCTTGATCTTTTTAACTCAAGACAAGCTTTTGCAGATATTTTTGTTGACAACAACTATCTTACTATGCTTGTATAATGTTTAAAGGTTTTGCCTTTTCTTCTGTTTATATTATTGTTTTTTATTAGATGGACATTTGTCAAAAAGTTTTTTTTAATTAAATTTGCATAGACTCATTTTTAATCTCTTCCTTCTCCTATAATGATTTCCATTAAAGCAACTCAGAGAGCAACAATATTTGAGTACAGGAATCCATTTCGATACAATATTTTAATCTAAATACGTTATCATTAAAGCTACAGAGAGAGCAATATAGATAAACTGGTAATTTCTTGCACAAAATTAGAAGGCTAATACTTGAATTACCATATAAATTAAGTAAATTATTTTCCAAAATTATCCCTTTTAGAGGTAATTGTGGTATTGAAGAATTGGCCTCTATATAATTGGCACAAATCATATTATGAAATCAAAAAGATAAAATAATATCACACGGCTATAATTGAATTCAATAATAATAATGATGAAATCGTAGATTGCCTAGCACTAAAGTACCTCATCAACAGTTTAAAACGTAGATTGCAGTTTGTGATAAATGGGATTAATAATAAGAAAATTAATTAATAGCCAGAATAGGACCCGAATAATTAACCAAATCAATATTAATTTATTGATATAGAGATTGAGTATTTTCAAGGAAATATATATTGATAATCTGTTTTTTTTCGAAAAAAATGGGTTACAAATATTCGCTTGAAAATACTTCGAGCACATGAATGTTGTACCAGAGGATTAAGTCCATGATGCAAAAATTCAGTTTGAAAGGCATTTATTTAAATCATCCAGCATCTATTTTAACAACTGTCATCACTCTTTTTTTCTCATATTACGTTAAACCAGTTACGGGAGATGCATTAAACAATGGTGGCATATTATTAATATTCCAACTTTGTGGGTCATTTTATTGACAGCATTAAAGCATAATTGTATTGTATAATGGTTGTTTCTCCAATGGATCTTGAACATCATTTTGTTAAGAAACCTTTATATTCTTCTTATGCTGAATTGACTTGAATATTTGTTCTTCAAATTATCAATTGCTTGTAACTAATAAAACCAAATAGTATACAAAATTCTGGTTGGCTAACTTTTACGCGCGCAAATTTAAATATCCAAACAATTCTATTCATTCAAAATCAATAATTTATTATAAAGTCTATTATTACACTTACTTAAGGACAATCAATTATCAGAAATAATTGAATAAACATGACATAATAATACATAATAATTCAAAATTGTATTTCACTACTTGGAAACTTTTAGTATACTAATTTTTTGGATGATAGCATAATAAACTTTATTATTTTATCGAATCTCTAAATATTGGTTTAAAACTTTATTATAATCACTCACGGTCACGTTTACTTTGTCGAAAATTATTTCGTCGACAATCATTTCGCCGACACCCATTTCGTCGAAAGTTTGTTTCATCTAATGTTCATTTCGTCGAAAATTATTCATCCTCGAGTCAGAGACCGAACGAGTTAGATGTGAGGAGTGTGAAAAGTTAGTTAAGAAATTAAGTGAGGAAAGCGGAGTATGTGGGAAGTGTGAGGATAAATTTGTTTAATGAAGTTTTTTTTTTGTGGCGAAATAATTTTCGACGAAATGAGCTTTCGACGAAACAAATTTTCGACGAAATGAACATTTGACAAAATGATTGTCGACGAAATGAATCAGACCCCTTTCTTGTTATTTTATGTTGTATGAATCTAAAAAAAAATTAAAATAAATATAAAATTCTTTAACTGAGCGAAAAAAGTTATAAAAAATTAAATTTACACACTTCTATGATAAAATGGGTTATAAATGGCATTTTTGGGAGTAGAATTTACAACTTTTTATATGTTCGTTTGCATACCAATTCAATTATAATTATCCAATTTTTTGTGGTCATCAACAAAATGTGCACATTTTTTATGTAGCATTCAATTTCCTACACTGTTTGATGCTTTATTAATATAAAGAATTATGATGAAAAATTCAATAAATACATTCAATAAATACAGAAGATTACATGCACCAAAACTATTTGCTACATGATTTTTAATATATACCTTTCAAATCTTTCATAACATCTGGAATGTATAAATCAATGACACCTTTCCATGCATACAAGTCTTTTAACCAATGTATGACAATTGATTGTGGTGATGCCCATTGTCTCCCTACAACATAAAATACTGGGATCCTTGGGTCTTGAAAAAGTAAGCAATGTTCATCAATTATATTTAAAGTTGAATTTGCATATTTAATTAGCCATTTTCCCAACCTTGTGTCTTCGCCCCCATTCCATTCGGTTTTGTTGAATGGAGTTGTTGAAATCAGATTTGGATAATTCATCGAGAGAACTACAAGCATACCTGTAATATAGTACCTATGCTTACATCCGTAATACACATTATCTCGTGGCAATGGTCGAAGGTTAAGTGCCAGATTTTGAAAGTGTACAAATACGTCATCATCTGCCTTTGCTGCATAATCATATTTCATGGTACCAAGATGCTCCCAAACCCACTTCCAGTAATAATACGCTTTGCCATTATTCATATTCTCTTCCATGTCCAGTATTACAAGATCGCCATAGGTATCATTCTCAGTAGTCAATTTTAATTTCAAATCGGGCGTGTATACATCTTTTGGTGGTTTTCCCAGGATAAACTTGAAATCCACATTGTCGCCAATCAAATTTTCTTGTTGCTTTAAATTTATAGCTCGTATTATACTTCGAATTTCATGCTTTTTTGCTGTCGTCCATATACCAATGAAAACACGGATTGGTGACCAATTCCACAATTCTTTGGAGGAGATTCCATTTTGTTCATGATAACTTTCACATTCCATTTTAGATTTGAATGGGATTGGTTGGTCTTGGTATGCCTGCATTTGTTCAAGGGTAGGTTTACCATAATACTTGAGAATGGGTCTTATCTTTACTGCTTTCGGTTTTGAAGCTGCTGTCGGTGTAATTGTTTGATTTAATTTTGAAGTCTTGGTTATGGTGGTGGACTCAATTTGAAGATCGTCATATTTATCGGGAATTTGATGGAAATCTTCGACTGAAAATACAGTAATGTTGAAATAATCTATTATGTAGGTTTGATGTGTGTGTGTGTATAAATATATATGTGTCTCGTAAAAATAAAATTTATAAAAAATATACAAATTTACTAAAGTCATATAGAAATTATGCAGAACGAATGAATCCGATCTCCCTGTATACTTTCTGTATAATAATAGTGAAATATATGTTATTATTATGGTTATTATTATTTGGAGTATTGAGAATGTTAGATTCCTGTAAAAAAAATAATTGATGTTTTTCAAAGAAATATTTGTACTTTATGCAATTTTATTTTACTTTCTACATGTAACAAAAAAAATTACACGCATTCTGCATAATTTCTGTAGAATTTTAGTAAATAAATATATTATAGAGATGGAAATCTGAACCCACCATAATAATAATTTAGGCAGAAAATGATGATAAGAATGGTTTGTAAAACACAAGCAAATTTCATTAATGAGCAAGAGTAAAACATTTCGCCTAAAAACAATAGAAATTCACGTTGATATGGCTTTTTTTTAAATAATTCAACACTTCATCTGTGTGCCAAATAGAGATGGCAAATTGTTGATTCAACTGCAGTTTAACCACGGGTTAACCATTACAGACAGTTAAACCATAGGTTAAACCGCGGTTTGTTGATCTGATTAAATATATGTTTAACTGTGGTTTAAAGCCGCAGTTTTACAACCCATTCAACATGATTTTTACTATTTAAAATCCTTAGTGCCAAATAAACTCTGTTTGTTATTTTGATATGTAAAATAAATTGTTTCGAAACAATCATACATTTTGACTACAAGTTAAATTGAATTTTTTGTCATACAATTAATGTCAATAACAAGTATTTCCGATTTAGTCACGTGTACCAAGTTTCCCTGTTATCTATAAATTAACACTGGTGTCAAAATTGGTGGTGGTTAGTAGTCTTTTAAACTCCAAAGAAATTAAAAAGTGTTGTTTGAAAAACGAAAGTAGCAAATCATAATTTAGCTAACCACACCACGATAAAACAAATGTTTTAGAAATAAACCCAAAGAAAAGAATTTATATTATAGATTTTTTACAATGTGAATTTTCGAATATTTAAAGTATATACTTTTAAATCTTGCCTAATTATAATAATTTTCGTAAAAAAAACTACATGGGTTTTTTTATTATTGCAAAAGTCTTTCTCTCTCATTAATATCAATATCAAAACAATTCAATAAGTTCAATCACGTGAAATTTTTTGGGATGAGAATTGATTTGATAATCTTGATAGTAAAACTAATAAACTATTTTGAAATAAACTAATATTTTGATAATTGAAGTCGAAATTTCAGTTTGATTTCCAAATTGACTAAATCAAAGCTTTTCTATGTCTCTAATAATAATTAATATACCAGTTTTTGAATTTAAACCAATTAGGAAAATTTTCATCTAAAAAAATGCAAAATGTTTCAATTAATCCTTTATTTTGACAGGATCTAAATTTCAACAAAGGCTGTTTCAAAATAACTCTACATTTAGTTAATCGTTTAATAAATATACATCGATCCATCATTATCCTCCAAAACAAATGAAAAAATTCTTTTGTTGCTTAGGTTTAACTCCTTCGAAAATCTATTTATTTACTATTTACTATTATTTTCATGTTTGACCCGTCATATATTTATTCATTTATATTACATGGCCATTTTCTGTTTTATACGTGAATATCAAAGATAATATCAGTCGAGATTGTTGCTAATTAATTATCCAATACGTATAAAAGAACCCCGTAGTTTATGTGCTTTTTCTGTTAATAAATAATAATTCCTTTGGCACAAGATCATCATAAACCTATATAAAATCAATCCAAACCAATTCGCTAACTATCTCACTCCTCTAACCATAATTGGTGTAATTTTTCTCATATATAAATGAATCTTTCCAACCAATGCTGTAATAAAAATGGCGTGTAATTTTAATTCAATGTCAAAAAATTTACTTGTAATTAAAAACATTTAAAGCCTGAATGTTACCATTTTTACATTTGGAACTTAAATTGAACTAACCGTTTTAAATATAATTCTAATTAAACTTCCTGAATATATTCTTGTGTTTGCCAGCCAAGGAATTTTTTAACGGCTAAAAAAAAAATTTCTTTTAACATTTATTTTTACAGCTGGAATTTTAGTGCAGAATTCAGAGGAATAGATATTTAGTTGAGATGGGTCCATCTCCATTAAAACATACATTTGCTTAAAAAACAAAATACAATAACATTATAGCAGGATAAAAGTCATAGAGTTTCTATTCGTCTTATTTTAATTCGTATTATTATTCGTTTTATTCAAACTATTAAAAACGAAATATCATAATAACTAAATAATAGTAATGATAATTATAGTAATAATAACGATAGTAGTGGTAATAATAATACCGGCAAGTTTAGCACCATCTGAAAAGTTTTTTCATCTACTGGGATTTAAGCCGGCTAAGGTTTTTCTACTGGCCAACATCACTAGTGGTGACACCATAACTTCAAAATGCAATTATGGCGACCATCAAAGAAAAATATCAAAATACCAATGGTAACAGGCATTGATACTATTATTAATGGCAATTCCTATTCTATGTACAATTATAACCAGGGCTGGCCGCGTAACTCAACGAGCACTATTTAGTCATATGTTAAATCAAGTTTAGTCAAGGCTCTGTCAGCCCTGATTATAATAATAACATTGTATTAATATAAATATTTAAAAAAAACGGATCTACAGTTAAATGACTACTACTACAGTAATTATTGTTACGCGACCATCAAAAATATTCTAGTTGATATTACGAATGGTAGTAAGTAATAATAACCTTTTCTGTTTATTAATTTATTTTATAATAATAGAGAATGAATGATACTATTATTAATAATGGATTTATAGTTAAGTGATAATGACTAATTATTGTTACGTCCTATTAGTATGCATTAGTATTTTTTTTTCGCGATTTAATTTCTAAATACGCCTAACTTACTCAACCCTCCAATAAAGTTTTAAATATGCTGCGGTCGCGGATGGTTTCCACATGGAATCCTTTAGTAGTAAATCAAGGAATCTATGAAATATTTTGTTAGTATTAGGGATTCCACGCGGGATGGGGAAAAATTCCTGGATCCATATTAATAAAAAATTTAAATGGATCCTTAAGCTTAAAACATTACTGATGATCGTGTAAACCGTAATGACATGACACTTCTTCTGAGCTTGGCAATTCATAAACTTCAGCATAATTTTCCAAAAATTCTTTACTTCCTCTCCAATATTTTTATCAATTACCATCTTAGTCTTTCATTTAGATATTATTTTATATCACCATGAACTTTTGTTTTGATATAAATCAATTACTTGCCAAGCAATTTTTTATATTTTCAAATAATATCGCCCAATTTCCAGCATGTTGAGATGATTTTCTGACAAAAAGCTGTAGTATTACTTCAGCAGTAGAACGTTCTTTTATTGATGGGTATTCTTTTTGAGCGGTCCACGACACTTGTGTTAACAATTTGCCAAGGACTGTGTGAAGACCTGGATAATCCTATGTAAAAGCTAAAGGTTTACGCATAAATCAACTGTTGATCGAATAACTGACCTTGCCTTACTTGGTTGTCGGTAAAGCAGGTGTTGGTAAAATGACGCAGATCTGAATGGTTTATTTTGATTTTCAATAAATAATAAATAAAATTTAAGAATTTAATTTCTGTAGTAATACATTAATTGACAAAAAAAATAAATAATAAATAATTTGTCTTTTAATATTATTTATTATTTATTTATTATTTATTTATTTATTATTTATTTATTTATTTATTATTTATTTATTATTTATTTATTTATTTATTATTTATTTATTTATTTATTTATATATTAGACAAAAAGTCAAGCAAACAAATAATTAATATCAAAATTTAATTATAAGCAAATTTCTGTTGTAATACATTGATTAGTATTAGCCAAAACATACACAAAAAAGATTTTTAATTCGAACAGGACGCAATTTCACCATCAGAGCAATGATAGTAGTATTACTTGATAATCTAGAAAGATACAAGATTGGTCAAAGAAAGAGGCTTTGTTCCGTTGTTAGAGGAAATTACTCGAGAAGTTGGTCCATACCCAATTGCCTATGCAATTCTTTATAAATGCATCTGGGCTTGATTGAAATGTTGTACGTAGCAAACCATTGACAAGTATAAAATGTTTGGTGACGATTTGGTTCCTATCCAACTCATACCATCTGGCGGTCTGATCGCAATTATAGACAAACAAGCGATTTTCGTTAAAAGCTGTTAGTGATTACGAACTTGTCCATCTTTTATAAAATTTATTATGTTTATTATTTATTCTATATATTAAGTATATTTATTTTGCGAAAATTATTATGAACATTAATATCTAAATAAGATATGGAGTATTAAATGTAAGCATTAATTACACTTTGGTTGAGTTCCATATATATACAATATTTTTCAAATTAGTATTTTTTTGTTCACGAATTATTTTCTTGCGTCCTTCTTTAATTTTATATGTGTAGAGGCTACGTATTCTGGCACAACCGTCTGGACCACTAACAAAATAATCTGCGTTCATTAATATCAATTTATCCATAATACCCTGTACTCCCGCTCCTTTTAATTCATATTCAACTGCTTTTGGATCTAACCTATTATCATCAAATAAATAATCAAGTGCTTTCATTGATACCCATGTCTTTACTGAAAGTAAAGAATTTAAATAACTTATTGCCAAATGATGGTTCTTTGTAATTATATCCCAAGTATCGGATTGTGATACATTATTATTGATATTATTTAATGGATAGTCAGTAGCCAAATAAACATTTTTTATTTTTGTTTTGTTTTTTAATTTTTGAATAAATTTAACAAGTTGTAATGAACACTCTGGAGCTAATTCTTCATCCGCTGATTCCATTCTCCAATGTATGGCAATAAAAGGTTTTAATTTGTTAACAACTCTATTGCTAGCTTCAACTATATGTTTTGCATAAGCTAAAACTGATCCTTTTTGCAAGAATTCACCTCCATAAAGAATATACCTTATCAATAATATTTCAACGTCTGTATCAAATTCTTTCATTAAAAAGCTTTTCATCTCTTTTCGATACTCTCCAGTACGTATATTGGCTCCACAATAAACCTCTTTGTAATCTATTGGTTTGAGATTTAATGAATTATAACATTGTTCATCTTTAGGATTTTTAAAAAATTGGGTTGAAGGTTTTGATGATGTGAATCTAGGTTCTTCGTGTGACATGTAACCAAGAGTCACATTAGGTTTAAAACCACGTTCTCCAATCCAATTATAAAAATCTTTTTGTGTAATAACTTGTAAACCTGGCATATTTTTTTTTAGTTGTTCGATATCATAATAAAACTCAAACGGAAAATCGGAACACGCATTCATTTCAGAATGTCCAACATTTGTCAATACCAATGTTCTATTTAAGAATATTGCTAATTTTGCAAGTGACGAGAAATGTAAATTGAGTCTAGTTTCTTGTTCCCCTAGTACTCCATAAACAAACATAAATTTGCATTTCGGTTCACCACAATATTTCAAATTTATGGAAATATCTTCTTGTGAGAGAGTTGTAAGTGGGGATGATGAAGGCGGCGATAATGATGAATTTTGGTTATTAAACAATAGATTTACAGCAAAGTAACTATAAAAAATCCATAATACGAAAATGATGAATAATACTTTTAGAGATACAGAAATTCGAGAATAATAATAAGAATTTATTGATTTTTTTGTTATTGGGGACATCTTTGAAGATAATAATTAATCAAAGAGTGTGTTTTATTAAAGAAAAACAATTCAGAGAAAAAGATTTTATAAACGAATGCAGAACAAATTGTGTCAGAACGGGCGCTGGTGTAACGTAGAGTAACCGCATGATAATAACAAGAATTAATCTTTGCATTAGTCATAAAAATTATAATATATTGTGAAAATTTTTAAATGTGATACATACATATTTCATTCTAGATATAGCGTTGAAGCAAAAAAAAAAGTGGTAAGCATTTACTTCAACATTTTACTAGTTGTCAGAAATTTCATAGCTAGTCGTTTCAATGAACCTTGTATCATCAAAATATAATTAAATTCGAGTTTAACTTCACATATAAAATATACATATGACAGGTCCCTCTTATACTTGGTGTCGCAAGTCAGCTAGGAAGTCAAAGTCGCGGCTAGCCGACTAAATATTTTATAGTTGCGACTAGATTTCAGCCGTGACTGATTAAAAATTCAAAAATAGTCCCAATTGTATTTATTAATTATACAAACGTACATAAAAGTACATAATCTTGACAATATTAACCATTGAATGTACTGTATATATTCTCCTAATATTCAATTAATTGGATTCCTTTAAAAAATTTTCTAAAATAAATTAATAAATAATAAAGGCACTGTCTGTGTTAAAAGAACAATTCAATGAATGTATAATTAATAACATATTCTTTTATAGCTTAATGAACGGTTTAGTGGATGAGTTCCATATTACAATTTTTGGATAATTATGAACTTTTGATGATAAAAAAACATTCCGGATCATTGGATTTGGATTCGTGGGTATTAAAAAGACAAGCCGATATGATTCTATATATTAGTCAACTCATGGCTGAAATCTTGCATGTTACTATTATCACTTCAAAATAAATAAATGTAAAAAAAAAAACTAAATTATACGTAAATTAAAAATTCTACATGTAATATTATTACTGTGCAACATTGGTAAACAATCCAACTTCTTTTACTATACAAAATAAATACTACTCATACTGTTATCTTTTTCTACAAATAATTATCAATTCATAAATTATCCTATTAATCCAGTTATTAGATTAAATGGTCAAGATGTAGTGTCTCATATAATGTGATAATGGTCTTATCAGATTAATATTAGTATAGCAGAAACAACCTGGTAAAAAAGACATCATTATTAAAATTTAATATTAATTGTAATGGAAAGGTAAAATAAATTTGGCTCGGTTTAGTTACATTCCATTGAAGTCAATAAATTTTTTCTTTTTCCCCATCTCGGTTATATAACTTTTATATTTATTGAATAAATGTAATAAACTAAAATTCCTGAATTCACATATGATATTTTCTAGCAAATTTCAATGTCTAAATTTTTAAATGAATGTATAAAGTTGTAAAAGATTGCATTTTCTTATCCACATATTGCAATTAGGGATGTCCATAGAAAATACTAATACCTTTTCTGTAGTACCGGAATCGAAAATGTACTGTAATAATAAGTATTACAAGTTTGAAACCTAAACCGAAATGCAAAACCATGGCCAAATTCAAAACCTAAACCGAAAGTTAAACAATGAATACATTTGACTAAAAATATCTGACAATCTCAGTAATTAATCCTAGTTTTTTTTTTCTAATGATTGATTTTTTCTTATTAATCTTATTATTAATTGGTTTCTTTTCATTTTGGTTTTCATTGTCCGCATCACCCATAATCATTGCCTATATTATTTGATTCATAATCATTGGTTCTATTTTTACAATATTCATAATATTTTGCATCCCACAAGTTTGCAGGTATTAATATTATCACTTCTTTATCAAGAAGTCTTCCTGAAATTGCTTTTATATTAGGTTGGGTCTAAGTCGTCCAAGTAACTCAAATAAAATACAACATTAAAAGGTATACCACACATTACAAATGCCCTGATTAATGCTCTATTAATATTATCATTCTTTTCTGTGATTAACGTTGTGCTTTAGTAGAATTCAGGCAAACTTAGTTGTTCTTGTTTATTAGAAGAAATCTTATTACTTTCTTTTTTTAACAGTTTTTTTGCAATGACATCCAAATAGCATTTACAAATTTCTCTATTGCAACCACCACATCCCTTTGCCAGTTTTTTTTCAAGTTTCCATGGATAACCTACATCAAGAAATTTGGCACAATATGACACTTTGCAGAATAGTGAATTTTGCTATTTTTAAACCTCTCTTCCTTTCACAAAGTAGATCCAAACATTTGGAGAAGGTCATCCAATAATTCATAAATTTCTAATTTATGCAAAACATATTATACAAATAATTAAATGATTAATCTCATTTTTTAATTCAAATAACTGCCAGATGAAAATGATTCCTCTTTTACATTATTAATATATGTGCTATTGTCAGCAGTCAATAAAAATTAAAGCAAACTTAATAAACTTATTATAAAATTTCTTAGATTATATACATATAATCTGTACCGAAAAGTGTTTCAGTAGCTTGTGGATATTAATACTCACCAAAGAAAAGTGATGAGTTTCGCATAAAGCAATGGATTTTGTATCGTCTTTTGTTGAATTAAATTTTTTCCAATTCCGTAATATAACGAATTTTAAACTCCACATAGATTCGTTGAAACGAGAGATTTGAATGCAGTGATAATAATAAAATAATTTCTGTCTCAAACTACAGTAAATTTGACAAGATGCCCAAAATCTTGGACTGTGGCATAGCTATTGGTCGATGGGCTACACTATAGTGATGCCAGCTGGTTGATAAACGCAATTTTTCTTTTTAAGGCTGCACAAGCTCAATTTTTCGATTTCGCGCTGGGTCAACTTTTTTTTTGAAAAAGTGTAAAGTGATTTTCGTAACAAATCTTATTTCATGTGATAAATTTTTTATTATACTTTTTTTGACTATTTGGACTAAAGTTGGTTTGCTAAGTTTTTCTTGTTTATTTTTCAATACATTTATCACAATAGTAATAAAATTCATTATCTGCATACCATCATGTTCACCACAAACAAAACAATCTACATGAAATTTAGACTAATACTCGACCATCATATCTAAATTTGGCAGTAAGGAAAATAATTTTTTAACCAAAATCATCTGAAGCTCTTTTTTAAAAATTTTATTGCATTTTTGAACAAATCACGATTTTTGAAATTTGAGCGCATGGCACAGCAATAAGAGGTCTTTAGACCGAGCCAACCATACATTGATCGACCAAAACATAAACATAAAAAGATTTGGAGCTCGCTTGTGAATGAAGCCACAAGGTAATTATTGTTGCAAACAGTAAGCCATTTTCAGCATCAGAGCAATGATAATAGTGTTATTTCATAATCTAGAAAGGCAAAAAGAAGATTGGGTCAAAGAAAGTAATTTCGTTTGACTCTTTTCCACTGTTAGAGGAAACTATTTGACAAGTTGGTGCACTGTAATTGCAGTCACAAACAAACAAGTAATTCTTTAATGAAAGCATCTGAATTTGCTACTGCAACGGTGGTTTATGTTTTGGCTATACATAGAAAACCATTGACAAGTATAAAAGGTTTGGTGACAATTTGGTTAATATCCAACCCATATCATCTGGTGGCGTGATCGCAATTATAGACAAACAAGATTTCATCATGTAGAAAATGATATTATTAATCACGAAACTTGTAAAATTTATTTATGTTTATTATGTATTCTATTATATTATTTTGTGAAAATTATTATTATAAACACTAATATCTAAAAAAAATTAAATACAGTATAAACAATTTAAGAATTTGGCAAAAATTCAGGTATTGTTGAGTTCCATATATATGCAATATTTTTCAAATTAGTTTTTCGATCAAGAAGTATTTTCTTGCGTTCGTTTTTAATTTTTTTTGTGTAGATGCTAGTTGTTCTGGCACATTCACTTGGACCACTAACAAAATAATCTGCGTTCATTAATATCAATTTATCTATAATTCCTTGTACTCCTGCTCCTTTTAATTCATGTTGTACTGCTTTTTGATCTAACCTTTTGTCATCAGATAAATAATCAAGTGCTTTCATTGATACCCATGACTTTATTGAAAGTAAAGAATTTAAATAACTTATTGCCAAATGATGGTTCTTTGTGATTCTATGCCAACTATCAGATTGTGTTATTCTAGAATTAGTATTGTTGTTAATATTATTTAATGGATAGTCAGTAGCCAAATAAACATTTTTTATTTTTGTTTGGTTTTTTAAGTCTTGAATAAATCTAACAAGTTGTGATGAACACTTTGGAACTAATTTTTCATTTGCTGTTTCCATTCTCCAATGTATGGCAATAAAAGGGTTTAATTTGTTAACAACTCTACTGCTAGCTTCAATTATATGTTTTGCATAAGCTAAAACTGAATTATTTTGCATGAATCTACCTCCAGTAAGACCATACCTTATTAATAAAATTTCAACATCTGTATTAAATTCTTTCATTAAAAAGCTTTTCATGCTTCTTTGATAAATTTCACCATTTATATGAGTTCCACAATAAACCTCTTTGTAATCTATTGGTTTGAGATTTAATGAATTATAACATTGTTCATCTTCAGGATTTTTAAAAAATTGGGTTGAAGGTTTTGATGCTGTGAATCTAGGTTCTTTACGTGACATGTAACTAAGAGTTACATTAGGTTTAAAATTACGTTCTCCAATCCAATTATAAAAATCTTTTTGTGTAATAACTTGTAAACCTGGCATATTGTTTTTTAGTTGTTCGATATCATAATAAAACTCGAACGGAAAATCAGAACACGCATTCATTTCAGAATGTCCAACATTTGTCAATACCAATGTTCTATTTAAGACCATTGATAATTTTGCAAGCGATGAGAAATGTAAACTGAGTCTAGTTTCTTGTTCTCCGAATACTGCATAAACAAACATAAATTTGCATTCCGGTTCACCACAATATTTCAAATTTATCAAAATATCTTCTGGTGAGAGAATTGAAGGAGGTGACGAGTGTGGTTGGGTTAAAGTAGATGATGTATTTTGATTATTAGGTAATATGTCTTCTTGTGAGGGAGTTGGAAGATGAGATGATGAAGACGACAATAATGAAAAGTTCAGATTTCCAGCATAACTGCTATAAAAAATCCATAATACGTAAATAAAGAATAATAGTTTTAAAGATTTATTGTTCCAAGAATAACGAATATTTAATGATTGTTTTTTTGTTTGGAACATTTTTAACGATAAATGAAAGACTACTTTTTATTAAAGAAGACCAAATTAATTTGAGGAAAGGAATTCAGAAACAACATGAATTTGAAAGCAAGTTACAGATTAAAATAATGTAGAACGAATGCTCATGTAATGCATAATAAATAAATAATAATAATAAACAATAATAAATATAATTGTCATATGTAGAAACATCCACTAATAAAGTTTTTATTTATTAATAATAAATTGAAATAATAATACCAGTAAGAGTATGAGCTCGTTGCGATCATACTGATACAACGAAAAAAAAATTTTTTCCGTTTGTCCATTCCAGGTGATTAAAACTTTGGAAGAGTATACCATTAAAACTAATAAAAAAAGCGATATTAATAACAAATTACAGTATGTTGCTGTAAATTTTGCTTTATTAAATTTGGTGAGAATAGTCCCGAATTAAAAAGTGTGACGAAGGAACTAAGCATTTACTTCGACATTTTACTAGTTGTTAGAAATTTCATATAGCTAGTCAAGATAAAATAAAATATTTTGCTCTCGGTAATACTACAGTCAAATCTCGTTTCAATGAATATTGTATCAATGAATTATAATTAAATTCGAGTTTAACTTCACATATATATGACGGACCCCTCTTATACTTAATGTTGCAAGTCAGCTAGGAAGTCACAAGTTGCGACTAGCCGACTAAATATTTTATAGTTGCGACTGACTAAAAAAATTCAAAAAATGGTCCAATGTATTAATTTACACAAAAATATACATAAAAATCGCACAATGAAAATTTCCACCAGATACTAATTTTCTTATGCTAATAGCCATTACCTTGAAAATATTAGCAATTGAATGTATAAAATATAATAATATATTCTCCTAATGTTAAAATAAATTCAATTAATTAGATTCTTTTAAATAACTTTCTAAAAAAAATTAATAATAAAGACAGATATACTTGGCAAGGTTAACCCTTATGAATTGTTAGATCGAAAACTGAATTCTGCTTGCAAGGTTTCCCATTGAACATAACATAGTAAAAAAATCTTTTATTAATCTAATGAAAATAATAATAATAATAAAGGGGTTTTGCTTGATATTCACAAAGGCAACGTCATTCGTTGTTCTTATTACACTAGTATGGATGGGAAACATGGATTTCCGAGATAGATTGTGGAGATTTGATTGTTTTTTAAAAAAATTATTTTCTTTCTTTTGATAGTACATAAAACAAATAAAACAATTTAATTCGTGATACGTGATAGAAGTAGATGATTGGCACATTTTTTAATTGAAAATTAGGTTGACGAATCTGTTAATTGATTGGTTGAAACAATAGATCAGTCCCAAATTTGTATCACAAATTACACAAAATTTTTTTACTTCAAAATCCGGAGATACCCTATAGTAAAATTTGTTTTTTTTATTAAATAAAAAAAATTTTCTAAAAATCATATCATATTAATATTATTTTTTGTTTGCGGAATATTTTGTCATGTTATATTGGAGGGAAGTATTTCAATTCGTCGATTTTTACACATTTTTGCCCGGATCGACATATTTTTATCTACTACCACGCAATTAAATTTGTAATGAAGACAACAAACACAAAAAAAAATTTTTCAATTCCTTCATAAATTCAGTTTAAAAGGTTCGTTGTATGATTTACAAATATTTATATTTTCTATCCGAAATTAGTATATATATATAATTGGCACACAAGAAAGATCTCTAAAAAATAAAATTTTTTCATTGTAATTTCTATTTCTAGTTAGATTTTTTTCAATTTACCTACCACATACTCGAATTAAGTTTCGTTAAAAAAAAACAGATCTATAGTTATACAATATTAATATATTTGGCAGTGAACAGCGATAAATATTATTTTTACCAGAGGCATTATTATCAAAATATTATTTTATCAGAATTAATTAATGCTTTTTATTACCCTTTCAGAAAAACTGATATATGATTAAAAAATCTATCTGATGCTTGTTATGCGACCATCAAGAAAAAAAAAATTCTTATTGAACATTATTTCACAACCATTCCAACAAAGAAATCGAACAAATAATTTCATTCAGCGATAGTATTTACCTTTTAAACATATAAAGTATGCATATAGGCTGCTTTGGGCTATAAATCCTTATAAAATAATTCGATTATTGGTTAAAATTTTGAAGGTGTGTATATTAATATGCTTGCGTCACTTGTATATCAGTCTGTTGATACACCTCTAAGAGTCCATTCAAAAATTGTCCTTCAAGAGCTTGTGAAATAGTTATTAGCATTTCGTGACCTAAAATTTCATATGTAATTGATCCTTTCATAGTTATTCTTGAAATTTCCCATTTTCCTGTCTCACAGAATTCATATGCATTTAATATTATTTTCTTTATTTCAATGATTGGTGGATCAGAAGAGTCGTTTAAAATATGTCTTGAACTATCAGGACTATAAAAGAATATATTCAATTGATTGGTTTATTGGCAGCTGTCGGAAATCTGCCAAACTTCGCCAAGACTTTGTGCACTGATAATATCAATATCATTAAAAATTCTTTATAATTACTGTACATTGCTTGGCAAATAAATAAAACAAGTCTTCGTGAATATTGAAACACGTACGCTGTATATGGTAACTTGCTTTACAACAATACAGTAAATGATTCATTCGACATAACATCTACAACCAATACTTGGTGCGAAATTTTTTCTCAAATATTTTGAAACTAACGCTTAATATGGTTTTTTCCGGATATTTCTTTGAAAATCTAACCAATGACTTTTTATCACACACACCTCTTGAAAATTTGTTATCCTCAAAGTGCTTTAGATTAATCTCACCCGGAATTTTCGTCCCTAAATGTTTTATAAATAACTACAATTTTCGTTAACCAGTTGTTTACTATAAGAGACGAAGTTCGTTTTTGATGTTCTAATTTAGTTTCATTGATGTAAATCTTTTGTGCTCTGCCACTGACCTTGACCATTAACACTCTTGAATCTGACAACATTTTAATTGAAAATGACTGTGTCTCGCAAATAGAAATTATATAAAATTGATTTTTGGTGGGAAGAAAGTTTAGTTTCGAATAGATGCAAAATCTATATTTGGGTGACAGAAGGAGCAGTGTTGTCATCGTAGCAATAAATAAAGTTACATTGCTAAATAAATATTTAATAATAATTTCTAATCTAAAAACTTAGTGTGGCCTTGTTTATATACCACAAAAATATTGAAATGTGCTCTTATCATACAACTGTCAGTTGCAAAAATATTAATATTAAGGTTAATTAAAAACATAATAACATTGATGATGTAGAGGTATTAGAAGTGGAAATAAATATAAATGATTATAAAAAACCAAAATATATAAATAAAATCATTTTCTTCGGAGACATTCTTTATAAGTGAGATTGCATAGATTAATCCTTCGACTTCTAGTCCAGATTCATTCGCATCTCCCCTAATTCATTCACATCTAAATATTATTAAACGAATTAAAGCAATATCAATTGAAATATATAATGATGATGGTTCCGATAGCTTTTTCAATTTTTTAATTTCATGAGCTTTTTGTAAAGATTGTTTCCTTTTATACTGTTTTAGGCATTTTTATTAAGAAAAAAATCGCGTTACTTAAAATTTTCGTCTTTTAGCGCAGAAGCACTTGATGTCTTCAGATAATTAGCTAACTACAATGTAGACTTCAGGCTAACGGGATAAGACTAGTGACAATTAGTAAACCAGGTTCAATATTGAGTGTATTAAGTATTATAATAATAAATTTATCAATAATCAATAACGAGTCACCCGAAATGTGAATAAGCTTTGTTGTTTTATTCATATAATACGTTTTGTCTAGTACGTTTTTCTCTTTTAGAAGCAAAGATAAAATGCTAGCAGTTGGAATTTTTTGATATTTTTTATCCACTATATGTCAGAAAGAAAAAAAACCAACGAACTTGAGCTCATAGTAGATAAATTTCTTTGATTTCAGAAAAGTATACTTTACAATTTGTCAAAAGAGAAAGTCTGATATAACTGGGTGTTTTAACGTCGGTATATCACATTAACCCCCTGACTGTGCGATTTTTATATAAAACAATGCAATAATAATAAGAAGATGACAAAGGGAAAGGATAAAGAGAATGATGTCGTTAAACGAGGCACTGCAGATATTAAAAAGATAAAGAAACGTTGAAAAGTAAAAATATCACTTGCAAAACGTGAAGTTTAATTGCCAACTAATAATGATATATTAATATGAAGTCGAAATCGGGAGAAGAAAGAAGTGATTAATATTTTGATATTTTTTTTGAGAGAAAAAATAATAATGTTTAATTTTTCATCTAAAAATTATATAAAGCTTTATAGAAAGAATCATTTCAAATTGAAAATGAATTTACTTGTTTAGTGTATTATTAGAAATAATAATTTACAAAAGAAATCATCAAGAGGAAATAATAATAATAATAAAAATTATTCTATTAATTATTAATATTAAAATTAATTAGTATGTTTCCACCTTGTAACATCATTTAATATGTTTTTATTTCCTTCAATCAACAATTGTTTTCTTGTAGCTTCAATTTGTCTTGTATAAGAAGATGATTTACAGCAACCATTTGGTCCACTCAAGAAATAATTTGAATTTATACAAACTAATTTATCTAATATTCCTTGTACACCTGCACCTTGTAATTCCTTAAATAAAATATTTTCTTTGTTCTCCTCTTCTTTTCCGATGTATTTCAAATATCCAAAACCATCTAAAGATTTCCAAGTTTTGATGTCTTTTATTGCAGAAATTAGTATCTTCATTGCTTTAATGTGATGGGATGTAATAGGATGAAAAGTGCCAGATTGAGCATGATTACCAATATCCTTAGAATTCATACTTATACTACCATTCTTCTCGTAGATTATGGGAAAATCAGTTGCCAAATAAACATTTTTTATTCCAGTATCTTTTCTTATTTGTTGTATTTCTTTAACCAATTCTATGGCGCAATTTGGCAGATTCTCTGGCAATACTAGTTCCATTCTCCAATGTATTGCAATATATGATGAGTTAAGCTGATTGGCAATTTTTAAAGCTTCATTCCTTATATGCTCTGCGTAAGGAATTGGTTCGTACATGTTTAGAAACATTTGTCTTCCCATATTAACACCAACCAAAAGTATTTGTGAATCAGATTTCAAATTTTCGATCACGAATTCACCAAACTTTTCAACTTCTTTTACCTTGTAAATACGAACTTCTTTAAGTTTTGTTATGTTCATGTTTAACTTGTATAAAATCTTCTTATTATTATCAATAAATTTCATCCGTTCTTTATAATAAGAAGAATTTTTCACAATTGTAAAACTTTCATACAGACCATTTTGTAGATTTTGCTGTTGTTGTAGTTCTTCATAATCACCTTTAGTGAGCCAAACGGCATTGATATCTTTGACTTCTTTTAATAAAATGTGTTCAGCAATAATTTTTTTATGATTTGGTTGATTTTCAATCCATAATTTATATTCATCTTGAGGGACAAATTTTGCATTTGGAAATATTTTTTGTAATAAATTAAAATCATAATAGAAAGTTGGAGGTAATGGCGAATTTACTGCGAATCTCGATGAGCCAACATTTGGTATCACCAGAATACGATCTAAAGATTCAGCCAATTGAATAAGTGTTCTCATGTGTATATTGGCTCTGGATTCTTGTTCTGGTACGGAATATGGAAATATGAATTTACAATCATGATTACACTCTTGTAATATTGATGACGATGTTTCTCCAATTCGTTTGGTGCTATTTTCACCATGAGATAAAGAATACATTAAACTACATAAGATAAGTATTACTGGAAGTAATATCAATATCCCTTTAAATGTATAGTTTGTTTTTTTTGTATGATGATGCATTTTATTCATAGTTATCAATTGCATTAATAACATCTAATGCAAAATTGTTACGAAGAGACTAAATATATAATAAGCACTTATTTATTACATGCAAGTAGCAAATAAATGGTAGTAATATAAAAGGAATCCTTCATTATCTGAAATTTGAAATTGGAGGAAGAAAAAACCTATATACTATATAGCTATTCACAAAAAAAAATATATCAAATTTATCTCTAAATATGTCCAACCCACCCATCAAAAATTATTATAGCGGGGGGCAACTACATATTTATAAGAAAAGGAGGTAGGTGGTAATTAATATTATTAAAATAGAAAAACCCACCAATCCAAACAGGGACAGTAAATCATTTCTGTACATAAATTTGAGTAATAAAAAATTTTAAAAACAAATTTGTAAATTTAGTTACATTCTGCGAAAAATCTAATTTCTTGTAAATAACAAGAATTGTCCCAAGACCAGAACGTGTATTAAGAAATTGACAAATAAGAAAAAAATTACATTCCAAATAGTGTTGTGTTGTGAACAATTATCTGTTTGAGTGAAGGAATAAATCCAAACTTGTTAGAAATATTTATACATTGAATCACATATTCCCGAATGTTCAGGATTATGGATAACATTAAAGAAATAATAATAATAATACAATAATGGAGCAGTGTAACATTCCGCAAAGTGAGATGAAATATTATTGCTGTTGATGAACAGAGAAGAATATCAAATGTGTGTTTGAGGGGAGAAAGTTGACAAAGAAGATAATACCGAAGGCATCTGATGATGATGAATTTCTTGGATTTAAAAAATCTACCTGACTATTTTCATGAAATGGGATACTTTTGCATATGTAATCTGCCACTAAATCACTAAATTAAATCTTTTTGGCACACACAGAGATCTTCACAATATTTTTCTATCTTCTTCTTTCAAAAAGGCATTATATACTTGGTACAAAGTCTTGAGCACATCAACATGATTATTACCATCGTCTATTTTAACAACTTTGTGGTCACCAGAGCATTATTGTTAATAGCAATGATTGTTCAGGCCCTTTCAGTTCACTATGTCAAGTTTGATTTCTTGGTGAACTATCAACTAATAGATAATATGAGAGGAGAGGGAAGACATAATTAATCACCATTAATCAAAAATTCGGAAAAAAAGAAACTAAACTTGTCATCTACAGAGTTATCAACTCATTAGCCACTGCTCCATTATCATCAACATCGTTATCCACAGTACTAATCTATAAAACGACCTCTTAATAATCAACAACTACAACATCCATTCTTGTTGAATTTCAACATTGTAGAATCTATAACCCTTGATTTAATTACAGATGACAATTTCTTGAGCAAATCTTTTGGTTCAAATGTAAATTGAATTTTAAGGTGCTTCAACAAAAATATATGATGTAAAGTATGAAGAAAAGAAAGCAATATTATTCACTTTGTCTGGTTTCATTGCAGCATGCCCCATTTTTATGTTTATTCTAAATTTAGTCAGGATTTCATGACAAATTCCTCGTGAACATAGTAATAGTAATAGTAAAATACATTACTAAAAGGAATAGAAATCTAGTATATACAAATATTTTTTTTTTGAGAAAATCTCTCGGTTACAATAATGCTAGAGACATATTCTATCAATTTACAGAGTTAAATTTTTAAAATATAAAGTAGTTCTTAAGTTCTCTATATTCTTAAAAATTTAAGAGGTTTCTAGACCGTGCGAACTATATGCTTTTGATTATTAATTATTGAAAGCTTGGATTAATCAATTTCGTCAATTTCATCAACTTCATCGCATTTTGCCAACGATTTGACAAATAGTCCCCATTTGCAAAATATTTTGTCGACCAACCATTCTTAGTGAAAATAGCAAATTTGAACTTTTTCCAATTTGTTCATTCTTTTTAACTTCGGTTATAAAAAGCAGTTTGAGGTCTAAATAATACTTTATAATGTTTTGTTTACATATTTTATCAAACTATATCTATTATTGCTATTAATAATATTATTAGATCGTCCGTTCAATCCTACAAATAATTTGGACCATCCGATGAATTCTGATGGATGTATTTTTTGTATGGCGACTAGATGATGGATTATCGGTTAATAAATATCAATGATTACAAAATATCAAAGTTAAATAATATGCTTAGTATTAGAATCAAGCTTTTTACTCTTATACTTTCTTGGCTATCTACAGTTAAACCTTGATAAAACGAACTACCATAAACCGATTTTCGCTTTATAACGATCAAAATTGGCTAACCAAATCATATTTAAATAAAAATTATTTCGTTAAGCCGAATTTTATTAATAAACCGAACTTAATGGTTTGTACAAAATAATAAAAATATAACTTTCTATGCCGAATATGATCATAAACTGGTTTTATAATTCGTCTTATAATGATAAAATTCGGTTTAAAAATGGTCGATCACCCAACAATCAGGTTTAGTTAAGATGATTATTACTAAATTAGGCTTTTAACCCTTTACGCTGCCAGCCCTGTTTGTATATATCATAAACCGAATTTTGATAAACCGATCCTATTTTTGTGATTCCCAAAAGTTCGGGCTTATCGAGGTTTGACTGTATTAGTATTAGTATTAGTATATACCATTTTACTTATGCGGAATGTAGATCATCAGCAAAAGTAACTAATAATAATAATAATTAATTAATAATAATAATAATAATAAATACGAGGCCATAAAAAGTAGATTATTAACAATCTCTCTTAACTTTATTATTCATGTCACATAATATTTAAATAATCGCTCCTTAGAAACCTGCCGATATTTTCATATGTTCCTAAATTATTTAAACTTTGTCATTTCTTTTTTTTTTTTTCAATAACTGATGAAAAGAAAATTTTCTTTGTTTTAAATGAAAATTATCAAAACATATGAGACTTGTACAATGGTAAATGAAATAAACATATTATTGCTCGGTGAGACTGGTGTAGGAAAATCTACGTTTATAAATGCTTTTGCAAATTATCTTAATTATGACAATTTAACTGACGCACAATCAGGAGAAATGGAGGCATTGATCACATCAAAATTTACAATGATGGATGAGAACTACGAGATGAAAACAATAAAAATTGGTGATGATGATCCAAACGAAAATGCAGATAACAGAGGAGCATCAGCTACTCAAGGATGTAAAAGTTATCCGTTCCCTGTGGACGATAATAAAATCATAAGATTGATTGATACTCCCGGTATCGGAGATACCAGGGGAATTGACAAAGATAAGGAAAATTTTGATAACATTCTAAAGTATATTAGTTTCCACAAGTACCTGAATGGGATTTGTATTCTTCTCAAACCTAATAGTTCACGATTGAATGTAGTGTTCAGATTTTGCATCCAGGAATTGTTGTCGCATCTTCATAAAAATGCCAAGGACAACATTGCTTTCTGCTTCACAAATGCTAGATCAACATTCTATCGTCCAGGAGAGACTTTGCCAGCACTCAAAAAACAACTTAAGGATCTCGAAGACAGATCTGGTGTTGAAATAAAAACCAACAGAGAAACAATGTACTGTTTTGATAACGAAGCTTTTAGATTTCTAGCAGCACTCAAAAATGAGGTAAAGTTTTCAGAAACTGATAGACAAAGTTTTGCAGAAAGCTGGAAAAAGTCTGCGGACGAGTCACAATTGCTCTTTAAGCACCTTGCAACACGTAAGCCTCACAAAATAGAAGATACCTTATCACTCAACAATGCCAGAAAGATAGTGTTGCTTCTTTGCAAACCTCTTGGAGATATAGGAAAACTAATCCAGGACAACATCAGCATAATCAGAGACGAACAAAATATGGTTGAAAATTCTAGTAGATCCATAAATGACCTTGAGAGAAATAAGTACACCAAACAGATAAAGCTTATTCCAGAAGAGTTGGGGCACCCCAGAACGGTATGCACCGATGCCAATTGCATCAAGATATACAGTATTGGTAACGTAAACATGACAGATCACATATCACATTGTCATAAACATTGTTATTTGAGTGGTGTTCAAACTGAAGTGATAAACAATCCAGCCTTGACACACTGCAGTGCTATGAAAACTGATGGAAATTGTAAAAAATGCTCCTGCCACTGGAGTAAACATATGCATATTACTTATGAGAATCGAACAGAATTCATAAGCGTCATTGACACGAATATAGAACAACAGATTAAGGAAAAGAAATCGTATCAAGAGATAAAGCAAGCAGTTATAGATAGTAAAAGAAAGCAGATCAAGAGCCTAGAAGAGGAACAGAAGAAAATAACCACCATTAGTGCCCAATTTGCACATTTTCTAAAACAGAGCGCAATAGCTGCTTTCAATGATGCATATGCTGACTATCTAGATTATCTCATACACGTACAAAAAGTTATAAGGGATTCTAAAAATGACAATTACAACAAAGAAATTCTTGAAGGGCTCGAAAAATCAAAAAGCGAATATTTAACAAAGGTGAAGATTTTAAAAGAAGCGATGGAAAACGATGATTCTTCCATGTCTACAATCTCACCAGAAGAAATATCCGACTACGAACAAGAATTGTATAATCTACCATTGAATGGTTCATCGTTGAAAGAATTAAAAGAAGCAGCAGAACGTGGTCAAAATGCCTCGTTCAGATACAATGAAAGACCATATGTGCCCCGAAGAAAAAATAGACTCTCAAGACTTTTGACTTTTTTCTCCTCCAGTCAATGATAAATTTGCGTATGTTACGCAAGAATACTATCCAACCATCATGTTTGTTGTTAAGTTGTAATATAAAAAATTTTGTCAATATTTTAAATATTAATTTTAAAAACCTTTTCTTTCATGTATTATTAAATTTATACAAATGTTAGTTTGTTTAATGTGATTTTTTATAATAAAACTAGCGTAATAAAATAACTTTGTATGATTTTTGATAATTAGTGAATTATTTATCATCATAATATTATAATTAGTCGGTGTATCGCGCGCAATTAAAGATAATGATGCAACATCAACAGGTTGAATAAAACGAAAATTCTATTCGTAACTGGTCTAAAATATGTAATTATTAATATTTTTAACACATATATAACAAATATGTGAATAACGAAAAATATGATTTAGATGAGTATTATAATAAAACTAACTAACTTCAATAAATAATAAATCACGAAAACATTGAAAAGTTTTTAAAAGCTGCAACAAAAGTTTATCTTAATTAAGATTTTTCGAAGGTCGTTTCTTCCTCGTATTACCCTTTATATTCAGTGTTTATTTGAAGACTGTCCAATTCATTCAATTGAAGCATCTAGAGTTAGGGGGTTGCTTCAGTAGAAACACTTTACTGAAAATTAAAAAATTGTATAATGACGAAAATAAGTGACTAATTCGCAATTCGTGACAGAATAATCCCTGGGCGATCGTATAAATCTTTTTATATCAAAAAACTTGTAAATTCAAAAGTAGCTTCTTTATCACTATTTAATATTATAATAATTATTTATTATTTAATTCACAAAGTAAGTGATATTAGACTCGTTAGATTCCATAAAAATAGCTTATTGAAAAGGACCATAATATGAATTGAGTTAATGCCGCCACTATATGCAATATACATGTTGTCATAATTAAAAATCGTGTGCATGACGCAATTCACGATACAGAAACAAATTGTGACGCAAGACGCAATTCACGGTGCAAACACAATTCGTAACGCAATTTCTTTAACTAATCAAAAAATTTTCTGGGCAATCTTTTTAATATAAGTAAGCTCATACATGGCAAAATAATACAAAGTATTTCGAAAAAGCTTGTAAAATCAAAACTAGTTATTTAATATTATGATTTAATAATAAATTAAATTAGCTCGTAAAGTAAATGATATTAAATATATCCATCTAATCTACATAGAAATCATATTTAATTCTTTTTATAGATCGTGTTACATTATTTCATCCATTGTATTTTTCCTTGTAAATGTTTTTGATTGGCTGAAAAATTTTCGTCACGAATTACGCATTCGTGTCTTTGCATTAATTTATGGTAAGTGACGTAATGTCAACTTTCTTAATTTGTGACTCGATACAAATAATCATTTTTATTAAATCACACATTACTAAAATAGTGATGATGACCCTTCACATCACGCGAGACCGACTTATCGTGATTCATTTAATTATACTTGGGCTAAGTGATTGACCGACTTAACGCCTATCGCGACTCTATACAGATCGGCCAACTTATCGACTTTACATATGTAGTGCCAATTTCTGGAATGTTTTTTTCATTACTGATTGGGATCCGTCCGTTATTATAGATTATATCAGATATGGGGTGTGGACAATAGAAACGGACCATGTTGTGAAAAAAGCAATTTTGAGTTAGTATCACTATTATATGTAATTCCTCATGTAGAACATTTTTGGCTTAAAAACCATACCCACTTTGCTTAATAAACTTTGAGATACTCTCCATTAAAGTTTTAAAAACAATAGTAAATTACTTGAAATGCAGATCTTTTTTTAAAATTTTCTCAAAACATCATTTTCACAACATAGTCCGTTTCTATTGTCCAGACCCCATATATGTGAAGACCAATCTATTAATAATTATGTGTTTTATACTTTTTTAAAAATTAGGAGGTGTCTTAATATGTATCTACAATATTTGGGGGTGAGATTGAAATCTAAATACGAAAGGTGCGTGGCGCGAAACTTTGATTTCACATGTAAGTTGCAAATCTACAACTTATAATTTTCATATAACCTATAATAGCATAGTTATTACACGAAATGTTATACAGGCCTATTTCTCCTTAAATTGGAGATCCCATTCAAATCCATTTTATCACTCACTCACTTTACTTTTTATTGCCAGAATGTTTTCCGTGTATTGTAAAGTTACGTTGCACAATATAAAAATTAATGTAACATTTCAAATTTCCACTAATAATTGAATTTTATTATACCCGTTAGAATATTCCGAGCCTATATAAAAAACGGAAACTTCATTTAACTATTATTATTAATATTGAAATATTTAATTGTTTTTGTCACTATCATCAAATTTAATGTTATTATTATAATACACGAAAGTAAACTTGTTATACGCCTTAAAAACTTGCATATGCATAAAACTAATACTAAATTTATTTAAAGTTCTGATATTTCTTTTTTTTTAAAATTATTTAGTTTCATAACTTTTTTAATTGAATTACGAAATTAAAACATCACTTGTACAATGGGAAATGAAATAAACATATTGTTCCTCGGTGAAACTGGTGTAGGAAAATCTACGTTTATAAATGCATTTGCAAATTATCTCAACTATGATAATTTAACTGACGCGCAATCAGGGGATATGGAGGTATTGATCACATCAAAATTCACAATGATGGATGATGAGAACTATGAGACGAGAACAATAAAAATTGGTGATGATGATCCAAACGAACAAGCGAATAACGAAGGAGCATCAGCTACTCAAGGATGTAAAAGTTATTTATTCCCTGTAGGCACTAATAAATTCGTGAGATTGATTGACACACCTGGAATCGGAGATACCAGAGGAATTGACAAAGATAGGGAAAATTTTGATAACATTCTAAAATATATTAGTCACTACAAGTACCTGAATGGGATTTGTATTTTCCTCAAGCCCAATAGTGCGCGACTGAACGTATTTTTCATACAGGAATTGTTGTCATATCTTCACAAAAATGCCAAGGACAATATTGCTTTCTGCTTCACAAATGCTAGATCGACATTCTATCGTCCGGGAGACACTTTGCCAGCGCTCAGAAAACAACTTCAGGATCTTGAGGAAAAGTCTGGAGTTGGAATAAAGACCAACAAAGATACAATGTACTGTTTTGATAACGAATCTTTTAGATTTCTAGCAGCACTCCGAAATGGGATGAAGTTTTCAGAAACTGATAAACAAAGTTTTGCAGAAAGCTGGAAAAGGTCTGTGGACGAATTACAGAGACTCTTTGAGTATTTTAGGTCACGTGAACCTCACAAAGTAGAAGATACTTTATCACTCAACGATGCCAGGAATATAATGCTGCTTCTTTGCAAACCTCTTAGGTATATAAGAATTCAAATTCAAAACTGCGTTAGCATTATCAGAGACGAACAAAGTAAAATTGAAAATTCTTGTAAATCCATAAATGATCTTGAAAAAAATAAGTACATCAAGCAGATAAAGCTTATTCCAGAACAGTTGGAGTTCCCCAGAGTTGTATGTACCAACGCAACTTGCGTAAAGGTCTACAATGTTGGTAGCGTAAACATGACAGATTACACATCGCATTGTCTTGATCGTTTTTTTTTGCATGGTATTCAAACCGAAGTGACAAACAATCCATATTTGGCACGCTGCAGTGCTATGAATCAGAATGGAAATTGTAAACGATGCTTTTGCCACTGGAATAAACATATGGCTATTACTTATGAAAATCGAATGGAAATCACCAAAGTCGTTGACAAGAATATAGAAAAGCAGATTAAGGAAAAAAAGTCATATCAAAAGGTAAAGCAAGCAATTATCAATACCAAGAAAAATCTTATCAATAGCCTAGAAGAGGAACAAAAGAAGATAACCTCTATTAGTGCCAAATTTGCACATTTCCTAAAACATAGTGCAATAGCTGCTTTCAATGATACATACGTTGACCATTTGGACCATCTCATACAGGAACAAAAAATTATAAAGGATGCTGACAATGGTGACTACAACAAACAAACTCTTGAGGAACTTGAAAAGTCAAAAAAGGAATATTTAGAAAATATGAAAGTTTTAAAAGAAGCAATGAAAAAAAACAATGATTCTTTGATGTCTATAATCTCACCAGAAGAAATATATCAGTACGAACAAGAATTGTATAATCTACCAATTAATGGTCCAATGCTGCTGAAAGAAATAAAAAAAGTAGTAGATCGTGGTCAAGATACCTCATTCAGACACGAAGAAAGGCGATTTATACCCCTACCAATCGTCGATTCAACGCTGAAAGAAATAAACGAAGCAGCAGAGCTTAATAAAAATACCTCATCCAGATACGAAGAAAAACGACATATGCCCGATCTAAGAAAAAAATTATCGGAAATTTTCTATACTATCCTATTTTTCATATCAATGGTGCTTATATATAAATTTGTGCAAGTTGCGCAAAAATGCTATAATCTTTAAAATTTCGTTGTATTATAATCTATTTATTTACATATTTTGAACCCTTTTATTTCATACACATATCTAAATTTGCATTAATATAAGTGTTGGTTCGTTAATGGGATTTTTTGTAATAAAATCGACGTGATTTAAGGTTTTTTTTTTATATAATAACCTCGTTAACTAAGCAAGGATAATTGATGATAAATCATCTTACTTGCAAAATAATAACGACTTGTATTAATCAATTTAACTTCAAAAGCTTATTTACCTATAAATGCATATGACATATCCTTTATTGTTTTATAGCTTTCTTTAGAAGTTTTTGACTGAGCAACCATAGATTTCAAAAAAATGCGGCGTGGCGTTCACACCACGAATTATGTATAATTAAAGTTAAATATCTAAACTTTTTGTAAGGCCACTCGGCCTCCCTATAGAAACGCGTAAATAATATTGATACTAATACAGATACTAATACAGAATTACAAAAATAATATGGAAAACCTAATACTGTTTTTCTTTTTTTTCTTTTTTTTATAATCCTGTATTAGTAT